TTATACACTAGGAGGGGTGACACTGGAGGTGGATGCACCTGAGACATACTTTGTAGATAGAGCTGATGGAGATTTATAGATGATTTGTGTAAAAAAAGAGAGAGAAAGAGATATGACTCCTCAGTTTTTTGGCTTGAACAACTGTATCATTTTTCATAATGGTGAGCAGGCATGGTGGTGAGGGGGGCGGAGGACAGAGAAAACAAGACTTATGCTTTGATGATTTTATATGCCATTAGACATCCAAATATAAATGTAAAGTAGGCCGCTGAATGTTCAGATCTTCAGTTCAAGGGAGAAGTCACAGCTATATTTGAGAATCTTCAGCACAGAGATGGTACTGAAAGCTGTAAGAGACTCACTGAAATTGCCTGCGAGGGGCTGAGGGCTGAGGGCTAGACTCGGAGGCACTGCAAGCACCTGAAGGTTAGAAGAGAAGTGGGTGCAAAGGAAGTTGCGAAGGCGAGTTCAGAGAGAGAGGTCAGAGAGATGGGATAAAAAGGAGCTTCAGAATCCAGGGGAAAATCCTGCTCAGAGTGGTTGGCTGATTTGCATAAGTTAAGAGGTAAAGACTGAGGGAGGAGGAGCCGTGTCTATTATATTTGGCAGCCAGACAAAAGGACAAAGGAGAGATGGCAACAGGACTCAGATTAGGGAGGGTTGGAAGCTGAATGGATTGTGTGATTTCACTGGTAAGAAATGTCCAGAATAGGCAAGTCCACAGAAGCAGAATGCAGATTCGTGGTTGCCAGGGGCCGGGGCTGTAGCGCTGGGGAATGGGGAGGGACTGCTCATGGGGACCGAGTTTCTTGGGGGGACGGAATGTTCTGAAATCAGGTAATGGTGGCGGTTGCACGACTGTGAATGTACTAAAAACCACTGCACTGCATTAACATAGTGGTTCTTATGGTAAGTGAGTTATATACTAGTTTAAAAAATAAAGACAAAGAAGTCAAGGGGTACACAGAGTACCTTGGAGAAGGGATGATAAGAACCGGTACTTTCCCCGGGCAGAATCCATAGAATTGCTGGACAAGTGAAGTCCCAACCAGAAACAGAAAAGAGGTTTGTCTAAAAGGAGGGTGAATAAAAGGCTGGGCCCTGCGTGAAGGGCTGGAGTAGACGGAGTGCAGGGAGGGAGGCCCCACTCCTGAGCAGAGACTGAAAGACTTGGCGTTAGGTCTTGTCCTGACTTTGGAGGTGGCCAATGGATGTGATGGTTAAAGCACATCGGACTGTCTAGATGTGAGTCCCGGCTCTGCCACCAGTGTTGTGACTGTGGGCAAGGCAGGGAACAGCTCAGCCTCAGGAGTCAGGAGAACAGTGCCCAACATGGAATGTGTTTCAGTTCAGAACAGATGTTACAGTAACCATGATGTGGTCATTCATTTCCCCAAGCAAGGATTTGAGATAATGTTTGAGCACCATTTTTAACTGCTGACCCTTTTCTTCAAACAAAACCAAATAATGAGAATAAAGCTGAGTGTTCTTGCTGATTTGCTTACCTGGTCCCTGACTCCCTGGATCACAGTGGGGATCCCTGGGGACACCTGTGGAGCACACTGTGAAAACTGCCCATGTAGTGGAGTCCTGGGCTTGGAATCAAAAGACCTGGACTTAAGCCTTGTCGTCCATGTACAAGCTGTGTGACCTTCATTCAGCAGGTTAATACCCCTCCCTTGGCCTCAGCTTCCTTACCTGTGTAATGTAAGTGTTGACTAGGGCTGTGGTTTCACACTGTTCCGTAAAGCCTTGAGAGTTCCAGAGAGGTGCCCCAGGAAGTTGTGAGTGGGGAGCATGCTGGGTGAGGACAGGAGAAACAGTAATGGGAGGAAGGGAAGACCTATGAAAAGGAACAGAGAATCAGGGTGGCAGCAGGGAGTCGGGGGACAGACATAGGGAAAAGGAAAGCTTTTCAGAGGTGGTGGTGGTGTGTGTATAGGTAACACAGCAAGCTTGTATGCTGGTGGGAAAGGCCTGGCAGGAGTGCAAGGAGGGAATACCTGGAGGAGAGGGCATGAGATCCAGGTACACCAAAGGGTTTGTCTTTGGGACAGATACAATGAAGTGTAAGGCAAGGATATCAGGAGGGCATGTGGGAGGCTTGATAGAGAATAACTAAGAGAAAAGGAATAAAGTTACTAGGGAAATGCAGAAGTACCAGGTAATGGGGTGCCCAGCAGGTTTGAGGTCAGGGTTAGAATGTCAAGTGAAGTCAGTCAGCTTGACAAATATCCTCCCTCATCAATGCGCAGCTGTTTAGGTGCAGGCCTGGGGGAGGCAGCAGATGTTGAACTAGAGACGATATTCATTGGTCGAAGTGTGTTAAGAGCATTGAGAGTTTATAAGGGAGGGGTGTTCTGCAAAATGGACTCTAAGCAGGTGAGGGTTGAAAAATGTTTGCAGGCATTAAACCTACCTCCAGGAGTTTGTTTTGTTTTTAATAAGAGCACACGTGTCCTGCAGAGTATGTGGGATTAATGAACGGCACTTTTATAGAGAAGGGAGAGGAGTTTCATCCAAAGGAGTCACACTCAGACATCTTATAGTGAATACCCTCCTTTATTGGTGCATCACTCAAATTCCTTGATTTATATTGTGAACAATGTGCCCAACCACTTAGATCTATTGCTTGCTTATATAAATGGCCTGATTTCAGTGCCTGGAACATAGATGTTCAGTAAACATTTGGTGAACGAAACCACCTTGATGTTAGGCAAATCTACAAACAGGAAGAACCCATGTGGTAGTGTTTAGAAGACAAGTTTCTTCAGATTTCCTATTTGAGATTTCCTGCACAGTCCTTTAACAGCTGATTGTCGGGTTTAATAGGTAGTTTATTTGGGGAAGAGGACAACATTCTGGAGATGAATGACGGTGGTGGGTGAACCACTGTGTGAATGTGTTTAACACCACAGGACTGTACCACTTAAATAAGGAAAGGAGTTAATAGTATCCTAGTATTCCTCACCGTGGATTCTATGTTGTCTTAGAAGAGAAGGAAGTTGAGCTATTCCTAATGGCATAGACTGAATTCCAAGATACACTAAGTGAAGAAAGCAGAGTGCAGACTAACCAGTGTGGGTAGTGTATTCCCGTTAAGGAAAGACACATGGTGACATATACTTATGCACATGTCATTACTTGTATATGAACATTATCTCCAAAAGTGTAATGGAAATCATGTCTACTCAGGACCTTGAGCCAAGGTAGGAGCAGCATCTACTGTTCACTGTATTTTCATATTGTTGACCATGGGTATGTATTACTTTTTCAAATATAAGAACCTTAAAAAGTGAGTAGTGTTCCTTAGCCTAATTTACTGCTACTGAGTATATTCCTTAAAAATTGTCCTTGTTTAATTCTGTGTAAGCGTTAGTCAGCTGAGTTTCAGAATTTTATCAACTTAATTTTAAAGAGGATGCTGTAAGTACAGAATGTGAGTCTCAGACTTTGCAATCATTTATTGGATATCTTGAGGATTTCTAACACCTCTTTTCTTCCTTTTCTGTGTGCAGCATAATAAGTGTGCCACCTACTCTGTGGGAATGCAGAAAACTTACTCCATGATCTGCTTAGCCATAGATGATGATGATGATGATAAAACTGATAAAACCAAGAAAATCTCGAAAAAGCTTTCTTTCTTGAGTTGGGGCACCAACAAGAACAGACAGAAGTCTGCCAGCACCTTGTGCCTCCCATCGGTTGGGGTTGCCAGGCCTCAAGTCAAGAAGAAGCTCCCTTCTCCTTTTAGCCTTCTCAACAATGACAGTTCTTTGTACTAGTGCAAGGAAACAAAAACATTCAGGCCCAAAATATTTCCCATCCCGACTAGGCCTTCATATTTGTGCCATAATGGAAAATTTCTAACTACTCTCAAATGCTGTTTTCTCAGTATAAACTTATAGTGGATGTCTTTATGAATGAAAGTTAATAAGAAACCTCTAGAAATTTGTGGATGTCAGCATATTGCTGCAAGTTATTTATTATATAAAGTATTGTAAATAGAATAGGGATGGAAATATAGCTATTTTTGACAGCTACAATTATGATTTTCAGTTACTATCAGAGTTCAGTCGGGGTTAGCTACATTGGTCCTATTTGTAAGTTTCCAGGCTTGGGTAATGTAATAGATCATTCCTTAACCCAGAAATCCAGGTGAGCCCGAATTAAGGCAGGTCAAGGGACTATAATGATGGAGTTAAATTAGTATTACTAAAAAGTTCCAAAGAGCTGCTTTCTAAGGGGAATTCATTAACCTAAAATGAATTTCTAAGATTTTACTGTTATTTCTATATAATATGAATGTTATTTCCAGATAGAGTAGTGTCACATGTGTCATGACTTATTAGCTAAAAGAATTTCAGACTAGCTTTTCTTCTAGTTACATGTCATTTAAAAGTTGCTCACAGTGGCAAGTGTTAAATGAAGATGTATCTACAAGGTAGATAATATACTGTTTGATACTCAAAACACTTTTCATTTTGTTTAAAGTAGAAAGTACATAATTGTATATTTTAAGAATCTTTAAAATGAGTTGAATTTTATAAGGTAATGGTGTAAATAATTCAAGTTTAAAGCTCTGACTTTTTAAAATGACATTCTTACTAATTGATTTCTCGTGCTATAAGTTGGATGATACTGTGATTCTAATAAGATTCACTGTTGACATAGCACAAGTTATATAACTTAAAAATATAGCATTGAGATCTAATTTTGAGAGTTAACAAGAATTTAAAATATTCTTTAGTGTACAATATCAAAAGGGAAGCAATGCCACTGGGGAAGTTTATCTACTGCTCTTAGGGCCATTTTTGTATAAATATTTAAATAAACACGTTCATTTGCCCGCGTTAATGTTTTGTTTTTTGTTTTTTTTTACTTTTTCACTTCTTTCCTTTCAAATTGTTTCTACCCTAATGCAAAAATGATTTCATTGTTCATTTGTAAAGTTACTGTTACTAACATTTCACAAAACAGGACTTTCAAGTTATCTTAGTATCTTTGAAAACATATGGCATCTTTAATTGTATTTATTTTTGAGTGGGCAATGTACTTTTTGATCCCCAGCCTCCAGGCCTTCTCTCTGGACCCCGCTGCCCCTGCCATTTTCCCACTGTGGGGCTGTGCATTCACAAACACACCCCTCACCCTGCTCCGCACCCCCACACTGTCTTTTCATCTTTAAGCGGGCACTCTACACTCCAGGCTTTCTCTGTTCAGATGTGCCCAATAATTATGAGCAAACTGCAGTTACCGTGAAGGAAGTGAGCAAGGGAGGAAGTCTGTACAACGTTTATTTATACTGGCAGCAGCCCTCAAAGCACAGGTATATTAAGACCAGACCTGAAGAACAGTGGCTCTGCTGCCAGGAACAAGGGGCTTATGGTACACAATGCTTCATTGTAGGTTTGTTTCCTTTAAAAGGTCATATCAACCACCTGAAACTCAATAAGACCTTCCCATGATAGATGCAGGTCAAGGTCACACTTTCACATCCACCCAAGCTGGCTTTTTGCTGAATCTGAGAATCCCTAATTCAAGTGACTCTCTTAAGAAGATCCCCGCTGGCCTTCTTCATGGCAGCAGAGTCAGGGCAGCACCATCTGGGCCCACTAACTTAAATGCCTGCCCCCCTCCACAACCCCACAAGCAGGGCAGGACAACTGTCAGATTCCATTCAGGCCTCGCATCATCTTTCACTAGCTGCTGTGACAGGAAATCATTTTTCTTGATTTTTAAATATAAAAAGGATACAAGATCCTGTGTTCATGGTCTAAAGGAGAAAACACAGTAGAGGCTATGAGAAGAGCTGTCACCTGGACTGTGTGAAGAACGCATGCATTTGCTGTGCCGCTGCACGCCCAATGACCTGCTCCAGTTCCTGGATGGAAGCGTTACTTAGTTGCTGGATACTTGGGAACTTCTGAAGCAGAAGGGAAGCTTTAACTTTTCCGACTCCTGGGATCTGTTGCACAGTTCGAAGCAGGGATGGCTCAGGGATGAGAGCCTGTTTCTTCCTGAGAAAAGGGTTCTTATTGGGCTCTTTGGTTTGCTCTAGAACCTGAACCGAAATTAAAGAGCATGTGAGCACCCTCTAGTGGACTAGCAGTCTTTTTAAAATTTGGTAGAAATTTTAGTTTTTCTCTTTGGTTCAGCTTGACTTACCACTACAAATATTTTCACATGCCATGAATATAATTTTTTTCAGTAAAATTATTGAAAGATGACCCATATGACTACACATAGGAGTAAGAGATGAAAATTTTAAATAAAAACTTGGGTTTCTAGAACGCTTAGGATAAAAGCGATAAAAACATACTGTGAGGAATTCAAACATGTTCCTATGATCAACTAAGAAACATTTCAGTTGTATGAGATTAAATGATGACTACACCTAAATTGGACCTGCCTGATACAGGATCTGGAGAGATCTTGCCAATCAAAGGAGAAACCCAGGCTCAGTTGTGGAAACAGGAAAGGCAGGTAATAGCATTATATCAAGGGAAGTTAGGAATAATAAAGGAAAGAAATGTGGTGGAGAGTCATGGAGGGATCTGTGACCAACACAGGACTGCATTTCTAATTTGGGGAAGATTTAAAAATCAATAACAAAGTAACAAAAATTGATGCGTAGCCCTGGCTCCCACATTCTTATTTTTAATTGGTCTGAGGTAAGGCTCATGTATTGGTATTTTGAAAAGTTTTCCCACAAAATTCTGATCTATAGTCAAGTTGAATAATCTTATACTCGGTTTAAAAGCAACAGCATAAACTTGCACACAGTGCTGATACTTAAAAGATACACGAGGCTGAGGCAAAGCAGCTGCTAGCTGACATTTTCATCAGTGTCAATACAGAATGAATGATGGAGTTATCACAGCCTGGTAGTTTAAAATCAAGTCTCCAACTTGTTCACTTCGTTATACAGTTGCCCAGAAGGGGTGTCAAGCTCAGCTGGTTGCAGAGGCAGCTTCTGAACTTAAATCAAATCCCTCAAAAACGTTTTATAACCCTGGCTGGTGTGGCTCAGTGGATTGAGCGCCGGCCTGTGAACCAAAGGATCATCAGTTTGACTCCCAGTTGGGGCACATGCCTGGATTGTGGGCCAGGTCCCTAGTTGGAGGTGTGTGAGAGGCAACCTAGTGATGTTTTTCTTCCTCTCTTCATCGTTTCTCCTCTCTCTAAAAATAAATGAAATCTTTAAAAAGAAAAAGAAGGAAGAGAGAGACAAAGAAAGAAAGAAAGAAAGAAAGAAAGAAAGAAAGAAAGAAAGAAAGAAAGAAAGAAAGAAAAAGAAAGGAAGGAAGGAAGGAAGAAAAGGAAGGGAGGGAGGGAAGGAAGGAAGGAAAGAAGGAAGGAAGGAAGGAAGGAAGGAAGGAAGGAAGGAAGGAAGGAAGACGAAAGAAAAGAAAGAAAGAAAACTAATAGAATGATTAGATTGGCTTGAGGGACTCAGGAGAAACCATAGCAAGCAAGGGCAGCAGTTGAAAGATCCGTGAAGGTCAGTTGAGAGTCCTCAAGACAGGGCTATCGTGGAGGTACAGAAATCAGTACTTACTAACTGGATAATGAGGCAGGACGCTTCCACCTGGTTGGCCACTGGAAGCAACACCATCCCGAGGTCCAGCACAGTAAACTTCTGTATGGCTGGGAAGTACTGTTCACTCATCTGTGTTTTTTCAACTATTACTATTCCTTGAAGATTACTAGACTTCAAAGGAAAATAAAAAACAACAGTAAACCTTTTTGTAACACAATTCCTTTCAAGTTTAAGAAAGCTTTCACTCCAAGAGTACTTGGAATGGCCAATGGTTTTATATGAATTATTCCAAATGTAAGGCGGAGGGGGGTCTAGAAGTCAGTTTTCAATGTCAGTTTCTTCAATTCAGTACTTACATTTCTAACGCGAACAAGCCGCTTTCGGTAGCTATTTCCTGCCACCAAATCGGCTTCCTTGACATAAAGAATGCAGCATCTGGTAGACAAGTAAAAATCTACCGGTGCCAGGCCATCCTCAAAAACAAGCTTAATTTTCCCTTAAAATGCAGACAAGAAAAGTTCCGTGAGCTATGGATGAAAAGGCAGCAATTGGCAGACTTTTCTTAAAAAGTGGGGTTTGAAGAGAGAGAGTTTATGCAGAGGGCAGCCGACCGACCTTGCATGTCCTGTGCCAGCCGCGACCCACGCCATTTCTCATTGGCAACAATGTGCCCAAAAGGCACGTGTACAGGGCCTGTGCCATCCTCGGGGTTCCTTTCCATGCTGGCCTTGGTCTAGAGAGGGAAATACAAGACGGCATTTGAGCAAGCTGTCCTGCACACGGCCCCACATTCCACTCGGCTGGGGCCTCTTGGCAGAAGCCTGTCTGCAGTGCTCTCTACAAGACTGAATTATTTGCCAAAGTCTAAGAAACCAGCAGATTCCTGTCGTGGTAGCCCCTCCCTCATTCTGGTCACCTCCCGGGGCCCTGCTAACCTAGCTCTATCCGCGTTGTGACTCCTCAGTCCAGTCCTTCGTCTTGCCCGCCCTCTGCCTTCAAGGGCGTCAGATAGGCTAAGGCATCAGAGATCGACATCTCCTCTGGCCAATAAGAGAACGGGCAGCGTGAAATTCCGCCCTAGAGGGAATTTGAGTGGGACCTGCTGGTTACCAAGAGCGACGGGTACGAAGTATCCTTGGCTCTAATTGGCAGACGAAAAAGCAGAGCCAGTAGCAAACGTGATTGTTGAGGAGTACCCTGAGTAGAAAAAGCGTCTGGGGCTAGGCCAGAGGGCTGGAGCCAGGCTGTAGAGAAGGGTAGCTCGTCAGTCCAGACCCGGGGAGACCACTCCCCGCAGCGAAGATGCCTCTGGGGTTTCCGAGAGGCCGCAAGAGCCAGTTTGTAAGTAGATCCTCATCCGGCCTGCGCCCGGGCCTGGGGGCCAGGATTTAAGGGAAGAGGGCTTAGGATTTGGCCTGAGATCGAGGCAAAGTAGCGGCGGCGCAAGAGAAAGCGGTTTTCTATTAAAAAAGCCCTGATATTTCAGGTTCTAAAGAATCGTTTATCTCAGGGTCAGCCTGAGTCGGACAGGAATCGCCCATTCTCCCCCACAACATTCGCTCCCGTTGTCTGGGTGTTCACTTCTGCCCGGCACAGACCTGCTGCACTGCTAGGTGTCCCCGGTGGGGAGTCATTCTTGATTCCTCCCCGCCACCCACCACCGACATCCCGTCAGAAAGTTTCATAGCCTTTACTCACCAAATACATCTGGCAACTGTCCTCGCCCCCGCCCTGTCCTCCAGCATCTGCCTGGACTGAAACAGCAGCTCCTCACTATTTCTCTGCCTTTTTTTTTTTTTTACTACTTCCTTCCTTTACTATCCTGACTTCGACAATCCGTTAACACAACCCTCCCACACCCCACAACCAATCTATTGATATTACCAGCGTTCTTACTGCTCTCCTTTCCAGCCCGAATTCTGTTTTTAATCAAACTCGTCATTAATTATATATAACTTTCCTATGCTACATTTTACACTACAGCCTTTTAATTTAAATATTTTATTGTTTATGCTATAACAGTTGTCGAATTTTTCCCCCTATGTCCCCCTCCACCCAGCCTGCCCCTGTTCCCAGTCAGTCCCTGCACCGCTGTCCATGTCCGTCCATAGGTCATGCATATATGTTTTTTGACTAATCCCTTCACTTTCAACCAGTCCCCATCTCCCTCCTCCCCTCTTGCAGTTGTCAGTCTCTCCTATGTTTCTATGTCTCTGGTTCTATTTTGCTCATTATTTTATTTTGCTCATTATAAGTGAGACCATATGGTATTTGTCTTTCACCAACTGGCTTATTTCACTTGGCATAATAGTCTCCAGTTTCACCCATACTGTTGCAAAAGGTAAGAATTTCATATTTCTTATTCCACAGTCTATCATTATAATCACTCTCCAAACACACCCCCAACTCCTATGCTGCCATCTCCCTTTTCCATATTTGCCTGGTGAAACTCCAAACCTACTTATATCCAGTTTTCCATAAATGTAATACTTTAAATGCAGAGAAAGCATTGTTTTTTGATAAGGGTGCTCGTGAACTCTGTTTTAAGTCGAATTCAGAAAACATGTCGGACTAGGATTTCTGTTCTCAGCGCTTCCACCTGTGGCAGGCAGTTTAGACAGATGGATGTTGAGAAGCAGTGAAGACATACTTATATTTTTGCATTGCAGTTTTGCTAACTCAGCATGGCATTATTGAGTTCCTACTCTGTGTCAGATATCCACAGTTGATTGACAGCCTATGCCACACTGTCTAAGGCTAGACAAACCCATAAATAATTCAGCACAAAATGGTAATGCAAAAATCTACTGGTAAGGCATGTACTAGGGAAGAGGCAGCAAAGTCAGTCTGGAGAGCTGACCTGGGTCTTGGGGGCGCGGGAGGGATAAGGAACAAGAATGGCAGGGGTTGGGGGGCGGGCACCATATACAAAGGCCTGAAAAAGGCCTGATGCACAGGCCTTCTGCTGTGTGGGGAAATGGAAGGCAGTTCTGAGTGCTAAGCATTGAGTGCATGTGTAGGGATGAGAAGGGGTGGCAAAAATGAATCTGGGTTTGTTGGTAGGAACCAACAGAGAGCAGCTTAGCAGCCACACTAGACCATTTACCTATCATTAAGAGTGGGGCTGCTGGTGAGAGGTTTTCCTGCTGGGTTGAGATAGGTTCATCCTGTGTTTTAGAGGCTGAGGCAGGAGGACCACAGTTCAGAAATGACTGTAGTGGTACAGTGAGAAATGTTCAGCATACTATGGGAGATTCATTCTTATCAATAAACAAACAAACAAACCCAAAACAGTAACAACAAAGCAAAACTCATGAGACCTTTTTGGAGGAGCTACTGGATGCCAGCCCATGGGGATTCAGAGGTGAAGGAAACCCTTTTTTTCCCCTCCTTGACAGTCTCCCTAGCATGAAGGAGAAGGGCTGGGCAATGGAGGAGGAGGCAGACATTAAATTGTCAAATTATTATTTTTTTAAATTTATTTATTTATGTTTAGACAGAGGGGAAGGGAGGGAGAAAGAGAGGAAGAGGAAGATCAGTGTGTCTTTGTCTCTCACGTGGCTCCTACTGGGGACCTGGCCCATAACCCAGGCATGTGCCCTGACTGGGAATAAAACCGGCAACCCTTTGGTTCACAGGCCAGCGCTCAATCCACTGAGCCACACCAGTCAGGGCAAATTGTCAAATTATTTGACAAATACAGGATGGTAGGTGCCACACTGAGAGGGATACAGCAGACACTGCTCGAATGCCTGGATTTGGTACACAAGTGAAACTGGGGAGCTGGGAAGGACTACAGGAGACATTTGGAAGGTCTGTCCATCCCTCACTCCTGAAGGATCCCCCAAATTCTGGCTCTTCCCCTTGATTATACCTCCCTTCTCTATATGCCATATGCCTATCACTGCCTCATTAGTCTTTCTAGGGGCCAGTTTCAGTAGGTACTCCTCACTAGGCCACAGGATCACCTTAGTCTGGTATTAAAACTCTTAAGTGGAAAGAATCCCCATTCTTACCCCCAGCCCGTTGTTCTCGCCTCTCTCTCTCAGATGCTTCTGTATTACCGCAAACTGGATACTTGTTATTTCCAGAGCACACCCACTAATATCTCACCTCATTCCTTTGTTCACGCTTGTCCTGCTTCCTAGAATGCTTTTCTTCATATTTCCTAAATATGAGAGCAGTGGCCATATTTGAAGACCTGGTCTTAATGTCTCTGTGGTTTTTTCCAAGGGCCATAAGAGGTCCCCTCGCTTGCCCCCAGATCTGAAGGCTCCCTCCCTTCCCAGGCCACTTCAGCATTTTGTCTTTATTTTTCCTTGGCAGATTTCATAATTCTGTGTATACAATAAGTATTTGGGTATTTTTCCTCCTCACTCTTCTTCCTTGAGGATGAGGACAAGGTTTCTTTATTGCTATCCTGGTGTTTTTGCTGCTAGTAGTTGTGAATGAATGAATGGCTGGTGCACAGAAAATGATTGGTCTACATTCATAAAATTCTGAGAGACTCTCAGTTGTCTAAAGCAGGATTCCCCTACTTTCAGTGTGTGGGGAACTAGTTTGTGTTATTCTGCATCATCAGAACTACCTAAAATCTTTATTAAGCCCTAACCAGTGTTGAGCAGTGTGCCAAGTGCTAGAGCTCAGGGCTGATAAAAACAAGATGGTTGCCTGCTCTCAGGAAGCTTCTGTTCTGCAGGTGGTTGGCAAGCAAGTAAGTAGGGTCATAAGAGGCAGTGCTATAAGACAAGTGAAGGTGCTACAAGGTGACCCCAGGTGTCAGGGAAGCTGCTCTGAGGAGGGAAGGGTGAGAGGGTCCCACTATGGGCAGCTGCAGTGGCACCCCCTGGGTGGGATGCTTGCCTGGCCAGGTGGGGATCGGGGATAGCAAGGGGAGGAACAGGCTCCTGGTGGGCCAGGTCCCTGGATGGCAGTGCAAGTGTCCTTCTCAGGCCCAGGCAGGGGTGGTGGCAGAACCCAGGTGACTCCTTACACCAATGACCTGTTCTGGTTTACTTTTTAAATATTTTTTTTATTGTTGTTCAATTTGTTCTGGGTTTTCTTTGTACAGAAACACATCATTCATGGCCTTCTACCTGCGGCCAGCATCGCACCGAAGCCAGCTGTGCCCCGGACACCTCCTCCCCGCAGCCCCAACCCCTCTCCAGAGAGACCAAGGTGAGTCTCAAATGAGCAGGCACTGAGGTCACCTTTGTGCTCAGCCACCAAGCGGTGGGTCCTAGAACTGCTTAAACTGGCAAGATTACAAGTAGGCTGATTAGAATCACGTCCTTTGAAATATTTATCATGGTTTCATAATTTAATATGTTTTCTCTTTGGGATGGGATAATGGTCTGTCCCTTTCTGGTGTGGACTTCTCACATTTTTGTAATTAAATGCAGTTAGTATTTTTTAAAATATTGAAGCCCAAGTATTTGGGTTGATGGTAGGTTAAAATGAATTTGAATTGTACATATAATTTTCACTTTAAACATAAGTCTGCCTTTCAAAAGAACTGCTTTGTGGGAAGGAAGGAGAAGAGGGTTCACTTCCCAGGGTCTGGGATTTCCCCCGTCCTCCAGTGCTCCTAACACATCAGATAGATGACTTTGTTGTACACCTAAGACCCCTGCTTGTGCCCTCCAAGATTTTAGACATGGGAGAATTTAAGACTGTTTTTATCTGTAAGTACCTGGATATATGACTTGACTATTAACAATGAGAACAGACTTCTGGTCAAGATGGAGGTATACATAAACATGCCTTGCCTCCTCGCAGTTACAGAAAAAAGTACAACTAGACTACAAAACAAATATTATCCAGAAACATCAGCAAATTGACCTGTATGGAAGACTGGCAGCCAAGAATTTAAAGAGGCCACATTCATCCAGATGGGTAGGAAGGGTGGAGACGTGGAGATACACAGGCGAAGTGGCATGGAGTGGTGCAGAGACACAGAATGAGCAGTTGCATATTCACATGTGGTGGATAAAAATCGGGAAGGATACCTCAGGAGTGAGGGATCCCAGCCCTATAGCAGACCACACAACCCAGGGTTCCAGTGCCAGGAAGTTAAGTCCCAATAACTTCTGGCTATAAAAACCGTATTGGCTGGGAGTTGGGCGGCAACAGAAACTGCAGGACTCATAGGAGACTCCTCTTAAAGGGCCTGCAATGGACATAAGACTTACGCAGACTCACTCCATCTGGGATTCAGCACCAGAGCGGCAGCTGGAAAGGCACGAGTGGCATATAGGGAGAAATCGAAGTGATTGGCATCAGGGCGAGTGCCAGGAAACAGCTTCCTCCCATGCAAAACTCCAGAGGCCAGACAGCAGCATTGTCTCCTCTTTGAGCCCTCCTCCACACAGAGCCACAGAGCAGTGACATAGGTTGCCGTCCCTAACAAATACCTAAGGCTCTTCCCCATACAACTTATAGGTGCCTTTTCTACTACTACTAAACTGGGAGTCAAAGCAGCTCTACTGAATACATAGAAACAAACACAGGGCAGCTGCCAAAATGAGGAGACAAAAAAATAGGGCCCAAATGAAAGAACAGAACAAAACTTCAGGAAAAAAAAAAAAACTAAAAGAAATGGAGATAAGCAACCTATTAGATGCAGTGTTCAAAACACGGGTTATCAGGATGTTCCAGGAACTCATTGGGTACTTCAACAGCATAAAAAAGACCCAGGCAGAAATGAAGGTTAACATTAAATGAAATAAAGGAAAATCTACAGGGAACCAAGAGTGGAGGGGATGAAGCCAAGAATTGAGTCAATGATTTGAATGTAAGGAAGACGTAAGCGTTCAACCAGAACAGCAAAAGCAAAAATGAATTCAAAAAAACAAGAATAGGCTAAGGAGCCTCTGGGGCATCTTCAAACATACCAACATCCAAATCATAGGTGTACCAGAAGACGAGGATGAGAAATAAATTGAAAACTTTCTTAAAAGAATAACGAAGGGAAACTTGCCTAATTTGGTAAAGAAAATAGACATACAAGTCCAGGAAGCACAGAGAGTCCCAAATAAGTTGGACCCAAAGAGAACTATACCAAGACACATCATAGTTAAAATGCCAAAGTTTAAAGATAAAGAGAGACTCTTAAAAGAAGCCAGAGAAAAGGAGACAGTTGCCTATGAAGGAGTTCCCATAAGAGTATCAGCAGGTTTCTCAAAAGAAACTTTGCAGGCAGGAAGGGACTGGCAAGTATTCATAGTGATGAAAAGCAAGGACCTACAACCTAGATTACTCTATCCAGTTAAAGTTATCATTTAGAATCAAAGAGCAGATAAAGAACTTCCCAGACAAGATAAAACTAAGGAGTTCATCACCACCAAGCCATTATTATATGAATGTTAAAGGGAATTATATAAGAGAAAGAAGCCCTGCCTGGTGTGGCTCAGTGGATTGGTCACAGGCCTGCAAGCCAACTGCCGGTTCAGTTGCCAGTCAGGGCACATGCCTGGATTGTGGGCCATGTCTCCACCGCTCCAGAGGCAACCAGACATTGTTATTTCTCTCCCTCTTTCTCACTTCCTTCCCCTCTCTAAAAATAAACAAATACAATCTTAAAAAAAAAAAAGAAAAAGAAGATCAAAGCTATGAACATTAAAATGGCAATAAATTCACAACTATCAACTGAGCAGCAAACAGAACAGAAACAGAATCAGATATGGAGATCATCTGGAGGGTTATGAGTTGGGAGGGGGAAGGGGGAAATGGGGGGAAAAGGTGCAGGGATTAAGAAGTACAAATTGGTAGATTCAAAATAGGTAGTGTTAAGAACAGTATAGGAAATGGATTAGCCAAAGAACTTATGTGCATGACCTGTGGACATGAACTAAAGGTGGATAGGTAGAGGGAGTGGAATACTGGGTGGAGGGGGGCAAACGGGGAAAAATAGGGACAACTGTAATAGCATAATTAATAACATATTTAAAAAATAAACAATGAGAACAAATTTCATTTGAGGGTGGTACCTTCTTTTTTAGTGTTCTCTTTGAAGCTAGAATATTGCATGTCTCAATTTAAAAAAACCCATTGAAATATGTTTAGTGTTTGTTTTTTCCTCTAGTACGATCTTAATAACAAGAATAGCCATGTATTAGTATTTACTCTGTGCCAAAGACTCTCGTAAGTGCTCTAGAAGTATATTTTCATTTCATCCTCTCAGCGACCTAGAAGGTCCTTTGAGCTCAAGTGTTCAGCATTTGCTTGAAGTCTCACAGCTGGCAAGCAACCTCACTGCTGCGATGCACTTGAAGGTCTGCCCAGCTCTTCAGTGTTTGTGTGAACCACATTAAGTAGTGTCATTAGAACTGAAATGTTTATGTAGCAGCAGCAATAGTGAGAGGGTTAGCGTCACATTCCATCAAACAGAAAGACAAAAGAACACGTGTCATGAGAAAATTCCTGTGGTCTCTGTGCTTTACAAAACTATCACCCTGGGTTGTAATCTTTATAAACCCGAATAACCAATGTGGGTTTAGCAAACTTGGCATGCTTCTAGATCTTTTTATTTTTAAAAGACAACATTGAAATGAATTTTTAATATTATTCCATCTCATGTGTACTATAACAGTATAAGAATCATAGCTATTTACTTCTATTGCCTCCTTCCTATCCTTTGTGTTACTGTTGCCACACAATCTAATGCTGTTATAAACTGTGTAATACTGCTATATTATTACTAGTTTTGATTTAGACAGTTGTTTATCTTTTTAAAAACAGTTTTTTAAGATATAATGGACTACAATAAACCGTACATATTTAAAATTCAAACTGGTAAACTTTGACAGATGTTTGCACCTGTGAAATCATCAGCACAATCAAGACAATACCTGTACCCATCACCTCCCCAAGTTCCCTTGTGCCCATCTCTTCCACCTCCCACTCCCCTCCCAGCCCACCCTCACCCCCTTGCCCGGGCAGCCACTGATCTGCTTTCTGTCACTGCAGATAGTCTTCATTTTCCAGAATTTTATATGAACAGAATTACACAAAATAATTAAGCTGGTGTCTTCTACTCAGTGTAATTATTTTGACATTAGTCCATGTTGTTGTGAAAGTCAGTGATTTGCCCTTTTTATTGCTGAGTAGTACTCCATTATATGGGTATGCCACACTCTGTTTATCCACACAACTGTTGATGGATATTTGGGTTGTTTCCAGTTTTGGGGCTACTAAAAATAAAGGTGTTTGGACATTTGTGCACAAATTTTTGCTTGGATGTATGCTTTCATTTCTCTTTGGTAAATATCTAGGAGTGAAATACCTACAACATATACTATATATCATTTCACTTATATGTGATTCATTTGTGTTCCCACCAGCAGCATACGAATTCCCGTTTCTTCACCTCACCAACACTTGGTTTGGTTGGTCTTTGTGTGTGTGTGTGTCTATAACTTTGACAGTCAGCTGTTAGTTGTCATTCACATTTACTATCCGTATGATTTGTGAAAATGTGACAGGTGCACAGGTAACAATGTATAGAGCTTGTTAGGTGAATCTCATCTTCATTATGCTTTCTGGGAAGCCATACACTGATAAAGTATGGAACAGAACTTATTCTTTTGACCCAGTCAGCTTTGTTGGGCCTGGAGTCCACGTGCACCTCTGGAGTTCCTGTCTCCTTCCTGGCAAATTCTTGGATCCCTTTGAATGCCTCAGGGGAGCATTTCTTGGTCCTCATTCCACGGATGCCCTTGTGAGTGTTGGTGGTGTGCCCTCTGTAACCTCCTCATTGACGGCAGATGGTCCCTTCTTCTTACCACCCTGCTTCAAGGGAGGCATTCTGTCACACCCGATCTTTTTTTTTAATTTTTAAAATATTTTGAGTAAATTGATGTATGTTGCAAAGCATGACCTCAAATGTTCCCTGTCTTGGCCAGTGTTTTTAATTTTGGACATTCTAACAGGTGTGTAGTGGATTCCATTGTGGTTTTATTTTGCATTTCTCTAATTCATAGTGCTGTTGAGCAGGTGCTTATTTGCCATTTGTGTATATTATTCAGTAAATATCTATTCAAACCGTTTGACCACTTTTAAAAACTGAGTTGCTTGTGTTCCTGTTATTATATTTTGAGAATTCTTTATTCTGGATACAAGTTCTTTATCAAATACGTGCTTTGCAAATATTTTCCCCCGTCTGTGACTTACCCTTTTATTCTCTTAATGGTAATTTTAAAGGAACAGATCTTAATTTTTATGAAATTCAACTATCAATTTTTCTTTTACAGATTATGATTTTAATATAAATCTCAGAAATTGGTAGCTAACTCATGGCCACAAAGATTTTTTTCCAGGAGTTTTATAGTTTTAGGATTTATATTTAAGTATAATGTCTGTTTTAAGTTAGTTCTAGTGTGGTGAGAGGTATGGAGGTGTGGATTCAAGTTCCTTTTTTCTGATGTGGGTGTCCAGTTGTTCCCGCACTGGTTGAAGGCTACTGTATTAGTTACCTGTTGCCATGTAACAAATTACACCAATGTGTAGTGGCTTAAAACATAAAACAACAGCAGTTTTTTAATCTTGTGTCTCACTTATTTTTTTTTGAAAATTATTTTTTTCTTTTCTGTATTTCATTTCGGTTATTTTTCATTGTCTTGCCTTTAATTTCATGAATATTTTCTTCAGGGTGTCCTATCTAGTGTGATTTTCATCTCCTGAAGTTCAAGCCTTTTTTATACTCTTCCATGTCTCTACTGAGCTTTTGAACACATGGAATACAGTTACAATGGCTGTCTATGTACATCTCTGCTAACTCTAACATGTGTTCAGTTCTGATGGGATTTTGATTGATTCTTTTCATTATGGGCCGTGTTTTTCTCTCTTTGCGTGCTGGTTATCTTTGATTGCATACTAGACATTGTTGTACGTTTCATGTTGAATACTGGGTATTTTTGTATCCCTGTAAGTCTTGAGTTTTGTGCTGGGATACAATTAAGTTACTTGGGACCAGTTTGATCTTTTGTGTCTTACTTTTATGATTTGTTAGATGGAGTCCAGACCAGTGTTCAACCTAGGGCTATTCCCCGCTACTGAGGCAAGACCTTTGGAGAACTGTTCCCAACATCCCATGAGTTATTTCTCCTGTGTGACTGTTCGGAACAGACACTGAGCTCAGCCGTATGTAAGCGCCTGGTACTGCTCCTCTAATGCTTACGAATGCTTCTTCCCCTGGCATTGGGTAGTTCCCCACACTCATGCACTGAGGAGCATTTTGCTGAACACACAGGGGGACCTCCTGCAGTTTCCAGAGTTTTTGCTGTTCAGCTCTCTCCTTTCTGGTGCTCTGCCCTTCAGAACCTCTCTGCCTGGTGTTCCTGGACTGTCTGCTCCATCTGCACAACTCTGGGAGTCTGTCTGGACCCCCCTGAGTTTCTCCTTCCTTTGCTGTGACCTGGAAATTCTCTCTGGCAGTAAGCTGAGACTTCATTAAGTCTATTGTTTTGTTTTACATTTTCAGGTGGGAGGGTAAATCTGTTATTCTATCTTCCCTATATTATAGTTTTGAATAATTTGCCTTTTAAAATCTTCTCTATATTTTTATATTTCCTTTTCTTTTATTCTGATCTTTTTTTTTAATAGAAAAACCATTTAAATATAGACTCCTTGGATTAGGGACCTGGTTCCATCTCGTATTAGCTAAAAAATCTTGGGCATGTCGTTTATATAAAAGATGGAGGTGTCAGTCATAGCCACTCATACAGTTGCTGTGCACATGAAACGAGATTGTTTGACGGCACACAACAGACAGCAGGCTTGTGGTCAGTGGGTGTGCCCTAAACATTGTAGAACTGAAGCTATACCTTGATTGATTCATGTGTCCTGTTGTTTAACCCTTAGTTCACCAGCTCACTAAGATGCTTTTGTCCATAGATCTGCTCTGGCTGCGGTCATTCTAGCAACAACATTGACTGGCCGCACCGTTGCCCTTCCTCAGCCGCGTCGGAGATCCCAATCTGATAGTGACGTGACCTACGTTGAAAATGACAGTTTCATCAAGCCCTATGCCACCACCTCAGAGCTGAGGCAGCGGTAAGAACCATATCTCTGGCTTTGCTTCCTCTCAGGGCAAAGGAGGAGCGGCTCATGTGTGCATGCACGTGCGTACATGTGCACATATGCATGTGTGCACGTGTGTGTGCATGTGTGTGCACGCATATGTGTGTGTGCATGTGATTAGGACTGGAGCTTTGTCACTGGTGTCAAAGGAACACTGTTCTGGGACATTGTTCTTGAATTGTATCAGAGTTTTCTCTAGAGTGGGTCTTGTTAAATTGTGGCTTGTGAACCCACTGGTCAGTTTCATGGCAGCACAGAGCCGGTGAATTCAGTGCCACTTTTAGGCCTCAGAGGAGTCTCCGTGCCACAGCCTAGATGGTGAGAGTTGTCACTCACCACTTTTCATATGCCTCCCCTCTGATCATTCATATTGATTTGACCTTTGTTGGCATCTATACTAGAACTTTTCTTCTTCTTTGATGTCATTTCCTTTCTTGTTTGAGCTAGGTTAGTGCTAACATAGGGCTGGGGGTTAGGAGGGCTTCCTCCTGAGGAAGAGAGTGTTGAGGGGACACCGAGGAATTTACTGGAATCAAGTGGGAACAGCTTGAGGGCTGGGGAGATGGTCAGTGCGGGGCTAGGATAAGCTTTCTAGACAGAGAGGGAGCAGGATGCGTGTGAGCAGCAGAAGCAGATGTTTGTGTCTGGGAGAACTTGAGTGAGGCGGGCGGTCATTTGAGGTGGGGCTGGAGCAGCAGGCAGGGGCTAGGCCTTTGGTGTCCCGCCTGAGATTCACTATTGCCCCTGGAAGCAGGAAGACATTGAGGGCTTTAAGAGCTTGTAGGGGGCGGAGAGGGGCATAACCAGATTTGCCTTTTATCTGTCATGTTTATTCAATTTTGTTTTTTGTTTTTGTTTATATTTTTACATACCAAGTACTCTATTTTTTTATGTAATAAGAGCTATCGGTCTTTTCTTTGTAGTTTCTTTCCATCATGATTGTCAAATCATGGGAAGAGACCTAGAAAGACCTTCCCTACAACAGCATGATATAAATGCTCGTGTTTTTTTCTCCTGGGATATGTTTATATATTTGGTTTTTACATTTTAATCTTGACTCCATTTTGAAGTGTTTGAATATAGCCTGCTTTTTCTCCTGGTGAGAATTATACTTCTGGTGAATAAGAACTAAAGATGAGGATGTGACTCTAAGATGTACTGGAAAGAATAAGCAGGTGAGACCATCAGGTGGAATTCAGAAAGGAGCAATATTGATCCTTGGGGGTTGGCTGCATTAGCCCACATATATATTTTATTTTGTATTTTTTTCATGACCACTTATCCCCGCCATTCCCTCTTCCATCTCCTCCCCATCACCTGTTATCACTACACTATTGTCTGTGTCCATGAGTTCTTTCTCTTTTTTTTCTTTTTTGCTCTAGCCCCATTATACAGGGTCCCGCAGAAGTAACACCTGGTTGAGTGTTGTTGGTAGGGTAATAATATGAGTGTTGTAATTTACAGTTCTAATTTGAACATTTCACCTAAAATGTCATATGGTATGCTTGAATGATATTGTTATGTTACAGAATTACATGCTTATGGTTTTGTAATAAAAAGGGGTATTATTTGTGCCAGACCCTGTATTTTAAAACCTATAGTTGAAATAGTTCATGCAGAGGGGGACTGGTTCAATGGTAGAGAGGTGTGCACCAATACCTGCGGTGACCTAGTATTGGCAAGCATACTGAGTCTCTAATAAAGGCAGCCCCACAGATCAAAGGGGAAGGAAAGGATTCAACAGTATATTGATTAGCAGTTTTGGGGGAAAAATCAGCTTTGAGGCTTGCCTAATTCATATACCAAAATAAATTTCTATTGAATTAAAGGATTGGTTTGTATATTTATGTAAATAAGACCATGAAATCCTATATTGTCATATCAAAACTGCTATTTACTCCTAAGCTAAGAATTGAGAAGGTTAAGATAAATTTTTAAAAATCATCTGTATGTTAAGCCCTGGCTCAGTGAATTGAATACTGGCCTGCGAGCCAAGAGGTTGCCAGTTCGATTCCCAGTCAGGGCAGGTGCCTGGGTGTGGACCCGGTCACGTGAGAGGTAACTGATGTTTCTCTTGCACATCAGTGTTTCCCTCCCTCTCTTTCTCTCTTCCTTCCCCTCATCTGAAAATAAATAAATAAAGTATTTTTTAAATAAATAAAAATTATCTGTACATTAAAAAAATCAATAGACTAGGAAAAATATTTGTAGTAAATACAAAGGCAGAATTTTAATACTAGAAGATAAGAAAGTTAATTTCAAGTTGGAATGAACATACCAGAAGCAAAGTAAATAAATGGACAAGTAGGTAAATGAACAGAACAGATAGTTCGCATTAGAGGAACGAATGCTTGCACATGAATATATGGAAAAATACTCTCAGTCAGATATGCACATTTACATACTGAGATTTAAATTCTCTGGGCAAGTTGTAGAAAATCATAACCATTGTCATCACAGGTTGGAGGAGTGACTTGTGAAATGATGCTGTGTGATGCGCGTGTAGGTAGACCCATAAAGTATTTGTACCGTCTGACTCAGCAGAGTGCCGTCGGGTTGGTGGTTCTACAGGACTAGTCCTAAAAGCAGAAGAGATTATTGCACATAGATGTCCAAAGTACAGTTATTTATAACAGGGAAAATTGGGAGGGGGACGCATAGTAAGGGAAATGGCTGACTAAACTGGTATAACTACTTAAGTCTTTATAACATTATGACTTTAAAAACTTGTTAACAAAGAGGCAGATTGTATTTGTATGCAGTGATAATAATTACAAGAACCTAGGTGAAAAACTAGAAAGAAATTTTAAGAGTATACAGAGAGATGGGATAGTGGATGACTTAATCCTTTAGTTTCTATATATTTTATAATATAGTTACAATACTTATATGGTGGGGGCTCAGAGGCAGTGCACTCTAATACATGTATATATACCCATTTGAAGTAAGTGGCTGGTTTAGTTACTTATTTTTCTCTTTCATGTTCTAATGTAGACCAAATTGGCAGAGGGAGACAAGAAGAAGAACTTTGCCATCCTTCGAAATGCTGGGCTACGGGGAGGAAGAGGACACTGACTTGTGCCTGTCGTCCAGCTACAAGGAGTTGGAGGATGTCAGTGCTCATAAGGAAGAGAGAGGCCTCGGCGATGCTGTGTATGCCGTGCCCTGCAGGACTCAGGTGCTTGTCACGTTGCAGCATTTAGTCTGCACCTTGACATTAACTCATAGTAAATTGTGTATAAGTAAGGACTTTCTTTTCTCTCTTCTACTTTTGATGGCTTTCTTTTTTCGGCTTATTTTTTTAATGTGTCCAGTCTCTGGCTAGGCTAAAATTTAAAACTTTCTTTACCTTTCAAAGACAAACATCTTTACATGTTCAGTGCAGATTTTCATCCGACGCTAAGTAATCTTGCTTTTTTCTTTGACCTCAAAAGCTAATTTTCCTATTACTTTTACAGTATCAGTGTGCATAGTGGTAACCTTTCTTCAAATTCATGCCTGACGAAAGGTGTATTCTCACTTGTCTCTATACTAGCTGACATTGTTTGAGTGGTTACCATTCAGTGAGTCTCTGTTTCAAGCTCTTATGTGTATTTATCTCCCACTATCTCGGTGAGGAAGCTCCATTCATGACCCTCTCACAGGTGGGAAACCGAGGTACAGAGAGGTTGAAGGAGTCCATTTCTCCACCACTGTCCAGCTGTTCTGGTTTAAACTCTGTTCTAGGGTTTTGAAAACTGGATAGTGCCATTTCTTTAATTCAGCCGTCCCCCACCTTTTTGGCTCCAGGGACCAGTTTTGTGGAAGACAATTTTTCCATGGACTGGGGTTGGGGGATGGTTTCAGGATGTTTCAAGAGTATTACTGTCAAGCTCACCTCCTGCTCTGCAGCCTGGTTCCTAACAGGCCCAGACTGGTACCCGTTTGTGGCCCAGAGGTTGGGGACCCCTGTTTTTAATGGCAAAAGACAGCACCGTAGCTTGTTTTTCCTTTCTCTTTTTTCACGATCACTGTAACATATGTTAAGCATAGTGACTTCACATATAGACTGGCAACATAAAACTATATTCATACTGATTACTCTCTACTATATTGAATCACATTTTAGATGGCCTTAGGGAGCTTATTTGGCAGAATCTGTATGTGAGTGTTTCCTGAACTAACCATCAATTTCCAACATATAGACTTCAGCATGCAGAGTTGGGTTTCTTTACAGCAAGGAGCACGGAACAGGCAGACAGCTGCCAGGAGCCCAGGGAAGGGTCTTCTGTGGGTCTCTGAATTCCCGCTGCCCCTCAGTCTGCTACTTTCTGGGAGTGTTTCGGACTGAGGTTAACAGATAGTTGTATCACTCAAATGTGTTGAAGTGAAACTTGCTGCCCCATTTCCTTTAGGGGACAGCAACCTGTCGTGAGGCTGTGGAGGAACTCTCTAGCGCTGGTGGGAGTATAATTCGTGCCACCACTTTGGAAAACTGTTTGGCACTATCTGTTAAAGCTAAACATATGTATTTTCTATAACCCAGCCAAAAAAAGAAAGCTGAAAAGTAGAAAATAACATTATTAGTGTTCTCATTCTCCAGAATGAGCAAGTATTGACATCTTAACAGTCTTTGCATCAGATTTTTTTTTTTATAAAAGAAATTAAATTACAGTTAGAGTTCATTTTCTCTTTGTCTCCCATTCCCTTTCCGTCCCTGGAAGGCCTTCTTCTCTCGGATTTAGAATGCATTCCAGAAGAGTTTGCTTTTACTCTTTTACTAAGAGTAAACAAATACAGTAGTTTTTTTGTTGTTTTTTCTTTATGTACAAGGGTCACCAGACTGAGCCAGTCATTTCACCTCTTGGCTTTTCTACTTGACATTGCAGTTTTGAGATGGATCCATGTTACTTTATCTACTCAACTGCTGATGGACATTTAGGTTATTTTCTTGAACATTTGGTACATGTGCTGGTTCACATTATTAGATATTTGCCAGCTTATTCTCCAGAGCGATTGTTCCCTTTTTCCTTCCCACCAGCAGTATTTGCATGCCAATCTCCAGATTTTTGTGTAACAGGCAAGTCTTTTCCTATACAACCTAGGAATCAGAGAAGGAGTTTTAGTCACTGATTGCAGTAGAAAGATTTCGTCATAACCTTTACACTGTCCTGGCAGACAGCATGAGTGAAAGGTCCCCTGAGCTGGAAAGGGGTTTCAGTTTGCCATAGCCTTACACTTAGTTTTTTTGTTTTTTTTTCCCCTGGGGGCTGGTAGATAGTAGGGGGAGGAAGACATATTGATATTTTCTTAGCATTAATATATGTTAGGCAGCTTATATGTGCCATTCACTTACTTTACACCCTTGGGGAAAGTATGTGATGAGACTGGATAAATGACTTGCCCAAGGTCCACCAGCCAACCATCCAGTGACAGAGGCAGGATTTAGACCAGGATGACCAGTTTTCCCTATTAAGAATTAAAATTTGTGTTTATAGTTCTTCTGCCTATCAAGAATATTTCATAGGCCTAAAGCTTTTTTTTTGAAACAGGCCCAATATTCTTAAATTTATTATAGATTACAAAGTTATATCTTTGAAAAAATGGGTGTGTGAAACATGTAAAACCGCCATTTAATCACTAGATGGCGCCAGCTCCGAAGGCGATACTGTGTGAGGTACATTTTAATTTATAAGGTAAAAGTAAAATTGCCTTCCCTAAATTCACGTGGACATTCTATAACCTGGGGTAAATAATTTATAATTTTATCTTTTTCTTATGAATTATTCATACTTTATTTGAAATGAACAGTTGTCAGAACAAGGCAGGTAAGAGAACAGGCCGACCCAAGCAGGCAGGTTGGACCCAGGTCTGCACGCCATGCCTCTCTCCGCTGCAGGGCGGTATGGGCAAGCATCTGCATGTAAGGGGTGCACCTGCTCGGAAGTGGCCTAACAGATGGAGAGAAAATCATGTTTTCAGTAGTCTTTTGGTGGTGCCACCCAAAAGTAAGGCTGGAGGGTGTGGGGTGCCTGAACTTGTGGTCTGTTCACACAATGCTAGAGCCCAGTGGACAGAGCAGTGTCAGGGGCATTCAGAGACCTGAGTTCAAGTCTCAGCTTGTCTGCTTCCCACTTGGACAATATAACTGTGGTAAGTCAGATAATCTCCCTGTGCCTCAGTTTCTTCATCCTGTATAAAACTGCACTGGGGAAGAGATTGTCTTTGGGCAGGTAAGTAATTCAACAGATATTTATTGAACATCCAGTGAATACCAGGCACATGCCAGATGCTGGAGAAGCAGTATAAAACAGAGTCCATAGTCACACAGTTGTTAGTAATCAATCATAGTTATGATAAGTGTTACAAGGGAAGGGTACAGGCGGCGTGATACCGTGTGTCAAGGGACTTAACCTTTCCTGAGAGCACTGCTGAGAGTGACGGCAAAGGGCTAGAAAGGAGTGACAGCCTGCTTCACTTGAAGTCACTTGACCTTTCTGCCTGATACCTTTGTAAGTTCATTCTTTAGCCTTTGAAGGTTAGTATATCACCAGAATTAATTGTGGTTCATTATTTTCTGTTATTTTTTTTCTGAAAATTATTTTGTAATTTTGTTCAGCAAAGGTTTTCATTTCTTTTTTTACTTCCAGGGACTATTTCCTCCCCCATTTTATCTGTGACTACTTTCATCATCTGTTCATTCTATTCTCCTTTGAGGTCACTAGTTGTGCCTTTGTTGGATGTCCTTTATTTGTCTTCCATGTCTATTATATTTTCTACAATCGCTTGTGCCTCTTTTTTCTTTCCAGTGTCACTTTATGTGATTTTCTTTTGTGCGTTCTCCACATTTCAGCACTTTGTCACTGTGTTTAATACTTCTAGTATAGCTTCCACCTCTGTGTTGGTTTTATTTTTTTCTTTTGCTTTTTGAGTTCTGTCAACTTCCTTTTCACATCTGCCTGTGGCCTCATCACTTTTCTTGATATCCTGTATCTCTTCTTTGGGGTCTTTATGTCAGCCTGTGCTGTCTGTAATTTCTTTGAGAGTGCTCGGGCTGGACTCTGGACAATGGAGGCAGGCTCTCCACAAGTGTCTCCCATTAGTCCCTCCTGCCTGGGAAGGACAGTTGTCCTGGGCCAGTCCACAGCCTTGCTCTTGTTGCACCCGTCAGTGGACCTCTGTGGGCCTGTACCTGTAACGCTTAGATACTTTGTGTTTTGGAGCATCTACATGCCTACGGTCCATCAGATTTTAGTGTTCTCCCTCTGTTCCAAATTTCATAGGTTTGGCAAGTGTTTTTGCCAGATTGTGGATTAATACTATGCTTATTGACTAAGCATTTTTTCCCCATTCTTCTGATTGATTTCCATTGGTTTTAAGGGAGGAGACTACATGCCTTATTACCATTTTCAGATAGAAATCAATAGGATGTTATTGAAGCATTCTTGCTATTGTTTGTGGATTTGCAGAGCATTTGTCATAAAATGCTATATATTCATTCATTTGTCCATTTAAACAAACAGGCAGGTCCACCCACCTGTCAATAAACCCATATTTGAGTGTCCGCTATAAGTTTGGATGGAGACCCAGAGAGAAATTGTTCATAGAGGGGTAAACTAGCTCTGTCTAGAAACTTCTGGAAGCCAAGGAATAGTGGGCATTCTTTTGCTGCTGCTGTTGAGGATTAGGAATGTTCCTTCTCTCTCCACAGTTAAAAAAAATTTTAATTTTCTTTTTGTCACAAAGGTAATATATGAATACACTTTTCTTACAAAAACTTTTGATACCACACATAGAGCAAAAGCCCACCCTGAATCCCTGCTTTTCATATTGTAGTCCTCCCCTTCTCTCCAGAACAAGCCTCTGTGGTCAGTTTGATATGTGTGTCTTTTTTTGCTGCAGATAATGGAATAGACAAACATAAGGCTTAAATAATAGACATTTAACACTCTCACCTAACAAAGTCAAGAGGTAGAAGATTCCAAAATTGCTTCAGCTGCCTATTGAAGGCTGGGGCCTGAGGTTCCCTTGGCGTCCTCTCCGTGCTCACCAGTGGGTGGGGCAGATCCTGGTCCCAAAGCTGCAGGAAGAAGTAGAGAAAGGTCCTTCTTATCAGGCTGCTCTGTGCTCATCAGGGAGAACATTTTTTCCGGAAAGCCTGCCAGCAGGAGGCTCATTGGTCACAGGCCCATCCTTTGACCAATTACTAAGGGGAAGAGGATCGTCATGATTCATCCCCTAGAGCTGGGCCCATTTTCCCCAAACAAAATCATCTTAGCAAGGTGGAAAGGGGGGCACTGACTGCCAGCGGTGAGTGCGGCAGTGCTGTTGTGGCTTGACTCCTGCATCTCCCTCTCCACGTTTACATGTATACACCCTATACAGGGAGACATACCCACTCTCAGTTCATTTCATGTAGGTTATCACTCTGCTCTAAAGGCAAGCACCTCTGCATGAGCTCGACCCTGATTGGTAGCAGTAGAAGGCCAAGATAGCAAGTCAGTGGCCAAGCCGCCACTCCAGGCAATTTGCAGGAGCCACCAAGAGAGTGAGCTCTGTTACCTTTCAGTGTTGGAGTGTCCTCCATGTAACAGGTGAGGAAGCACAGATTCACCAACCCTCAGTTTATTTATACTAATGTACCATGTCAGGGGAGGTCCACCATGTGTTGGGGCCCACAAGGACCCGGCGCGGGCCTGAGCAGTCCCCTGCCAGAGTTATTCCTTGGTTTACTGCACATTTTTACCACACTCTTGCCCGGACTCAACCCTGAGGGGGAGCTAGCTGGCACCTCCTGTTGCTCCACCTGGAAGACGGTGTAAGCACTTTGGGTGGGGTTCTTCTGTTAGCATAGTCACTACGAAAAGAGGCACCTGGGAAGGTGACCGTCCCCTTCTCGGCTGTGGCCTGTGTGTGATTAGGTTAGTCACTGCTGGATGTTAGTGTCCTGTCCCTCTCACAGTCACGAGAATCTGTACACTGCAGCTTCCTTGCTGTGCCATCAGGTTTTCCAGTATCTTTTTTCTTGAAGTGTTAGGATACTTCTGATGTCACAGACTAAACTTGCGTGTTTTGAACTTTATATGCACGAAATCGTAGAACACGTATTCTTTTGCCTCTGACTACATTGGTAGGTGTGCACAAACTTAAAACTATATCTTCTTGGTAAATTGAACATTCAGTCACTATAAATCGAGCCTCTTTATCTCTAAAAATGTGTTTCGCCTTTCGTCTCTTCACCTGACACCCTCTGTCTCCCTTTTGTTTAATGTTCGTGTGGTCTACTTTTTCCATTCTTTTTTTTTTTTTTAGATTTTACTTATTTTGTTTTAGAGAGGGAAGGGAGGGAGATAGAGAGAGAGATAGATAGATAGAGAGAGAGAGAGAGAGAGAGAGAGAGAAACATCAATGTGCGGTTGCTGGGGGTCATGGCCTGCAACCCAGGAATGTACCCTGACTGGGAACCCATTCTTTAATTTCAACTTTCTATGTCCTTATGTTTAGCTGTATCTTATAAACAACATACTGTTTTTTAAAAACAAGTTTTAAATATATAATTCACATACCATACTATTCATCTGTTTAAAGTATGTATTCAATTTAATATAGCATTATAGTTTTGTTAACTGAGTTTGACAAACTTTTCCTTTGTCTTTTTGCTGGACCATTCAATTCTTCCGTATTTAATGTATGTAAGGATCTGCCTGAGTTTAAATTTGCCATCTTACTTTACCTTTCCTGTTTGTCCTGATGTTCTGTATCTCTTTTCTTCTTGACTTCTTATGGGTTGATGATTTTTCTTTCTCTCCACTAATTCACAAATTATATCTTTTTCTCTAATAATTACCATAGGTATTATAGCATGCACATTTTACTCTTTAAAATCTCAGTAAGTGCACTACCCCAGCAAGAGCATGAAGGGACCTTGAACAAGCGCTGTGGACAAACAAGGGACAGGCCCTTCCATCACCACTGGCTCCCGGGCTGGGGCCAGGCTGGCCTGTCCTGCTTCTTCCTGTCCTTTAAGGCCCAAACAAATGTTTTAGTTGCCAAGGTTATTTTTACAGTTAGAAGTATTTGGTAGTTTAAAAAATATAAATTAAGCCCTGGCTGGCGTAGCTCAGTGGATTGAGCGCGGGCTGGGAACCAAAGTGTCCCAGGTTCGATTCTCAGCCAGGGTACATTCCTGGGTTGCAGGCCATAACCCCCAGCAACCGCACATTGATGTTTCTCTCTCTCTCTCTCTCTCTCCGCCCCCCTTCCTTCTCTAAAAAAATAAATAAATGAAATCTTTAAAAAAAAAAATAAAAAAATATATAAATTAAAACATTTAAAGTGTTGTTTTGAATAATGTCATAATTCTTTAGTTTATTTATCGATGTAGTAAATATACATGAAAGGTATATAAACTGTTAAGTGTAAGGTTCAATGAGTTTTTACAAAGTAGTCACCATCATATTTTTTTGTTTTAAAGGAACATTATTAGTACCCTAGGAGTTCCTCTGTGTGGCCAAGAAGAGGTCACTACTTCCCCCAGAGTTAACCACTGCCCTAACTCCAAGAGTAGATTAGATTGTAGAAAATAACCATGGATTAGTTTTGCCTATTCTGAAAATTCTGTGAATTTAATCCCACAGTATGTATTCTTTGGAGTTTTTGAAAAGTCTTCAGTTATTATGCATGCATAGTTGGTTCATTCCTATTGCTGCATAATATCCCATTATACAACTATGCCATCTAATTACTTATGTGTTCTACTGATGATGGATATTTGGTTATTTCCGGTTTGAGGCTCTCAGGAATAGTGCTGCTATGAACACTCATAGATGCATGTATATCTTCCCAGAAGGGTGTATAGGAAGGAGTGAGGTTTACATTCTCAGCCTTAGTACTACTAGGTACCGCCCAACAGTTTTCCATCGTAGGGCATCTTTATGATGACATTGGAGACCCTTAGCACTTTTTACACTTCCTTGATAGGAGTGAGTAGCTTAATATATCTCTGACAGGGTCAGTGAAGCATCTGGTTCCTAGGGATGAAAACTGAGCAGTCATTTCTTTCCTCTCCTTTCAAATGGTGAGTGGGAGACCTATCTGCCGCTCCCAAGCTGGGTTACCTTGGAGCCACTTGAAGGGTGAGTGAGCCTCCATCGGCCTTAGCTCTTGACTCTGCAGTACTCCACTGCATCTTGCGGGTCAGTGCCAACACCTCCCTGCCAGCCTTGGAAGGGCCCTTCTCTGTCTACAGCATAGCACAACTAAGACAAGATGATCACATAAGTAAGATTTCAGTGAAGAGCCAGGGTAACAGAAGAGACACCAACCAGAGAACACCACAGTTAGCTTGTTGGACGCTTGGGTTGCTTCTATCCCCACTTCCCAGAGCCCTGCCAGTAAAACTGTCTCTGGCTCATCAGGGTGGTCCCATTCCTGGCCCACAGGTATATAACAGACAGCTCGGCAGCCTGCCACCATTCATGATATCTGTATGGGAGATGTTCACAGGCAGAGGAGGGGAGGGTTCCACTCCACAAGGAAACATTTCTAGTGGACACACATAGCCAGTGAACATAATGGACCTCGACCCCACACAGTTGCCCCACTGCGGGTTCTCACAGTCGACAGCCCTTGTCCTACGTAGAGATGATAACACAGCATCAGTACCAAGGTGCGCTGGCATTGAGTGCTATGCTCAGCAGGCCAGATGCAGCCCCCTTTTTCTGGGTTGGTCCTTGGCAGGAAGGAGACAGAGAGGCTGCCGAAGCAGCATGGATGGGTTATGAAGGAGCCCAGAGTTTCATCCAGCCCTGCCAGGTGTGGTCCTTTCGTGTCTCAGAGAAGGAGGTGGCACTGGAGAAAGTGTGGAACTAGCCATTTGCGTTTACTGGGAGGAAATTTGCTCATTTGTTTGTCCCTTTGTCTCTTGTAACAGAAGGTTTCGTTGTCACGTGGGGTGGACAGCGAAGATGAGGAAAATATTTCCGAGCAAGATGGGTTTCCAGACTCACCTCTTATACCACAGTGCACAGGAGAAAAAGGTAAAAAAATCTTTTCAAATATTAAAAACTTTTTGTGGTAATAAATATTTGTTAACTTGGGGGAAAATATAGCCATTGAACCTCTGTACTGTGACTCTGTTATTACAAGTAGACATATTCTAAATTTTACTTTCACTGAAGATAAGTTACTCTAAAGTCAATTGCATGGATGTTAAGTCGTGCTCACTTTGGAGTCCATTTCAGCAGTTCTGTCAGCCTGAAGAGGGTTATGGCTCAGGCTCTGAGGCTCTGCCCACTCTTTCCCTGTTCCCGGGTGCCTGCTGCCGCAAGGGGCTGGTCGGTGCTCCACCAGTGGTCTCCACAGAGTGCGCAACTGGAACGTCATGTCTTGTCCACCATGCTCTCTCCATTATTTTGTTACCGGCCTTTAAAATCTGATGACACACCCTGAATATCTATGTGTTCATTCATGTCCATCCACTTTCTAATGTCTATGTTGCCTGTGGCCTAATGTGTCACCTATCAGTCAGAATTCAACCAGGAGAAAGCACATGATGATTTAAACAGGGAAAGTTTAACATAAAAAATTATTAACATAACAGAACTGCCCACTAAGGGGTAGAGAAGTTTAAAGAATACAGGAACAGCAGATAGAGGGAACAGCTAGCTACTCCCTCTACAGTTTACACAGAGCACCCCAGGGAAGAAACACATTTGGAGAATCACCCAAGGCCGAGATGCAGACACTACAGAGGGTGCACCTATAGGCCACTGGCTGATGGAGAAGTTATCTGAGTACTATCAACTCACTAGGAAGCTGTCTTCAGGGGATTGCCAGGAGAAATCACCTATGGGGAAGTGCTGTTGGCCGCCTAGGAAAGGGAAGAAAAACAGGAAGAGAAAGAGGGAGGTAGCATACTGAAATGAAGAACCCAAGCCCCTGCTCCTCCAGGATCTTTCCAGCACCCTCTATTGATGAAACTTATATTGCGGCACCTGGCAAGTAGAAATACTGCAGTAATGCAAGCAGTGAAGGTAGATTTGGAGCTAACAAGCAGTGGTAACTGGTACACTTGGTAACATGAACTTGGAGCACTTCTGCAGTGACTTTTGCTTTGTTATGGCATTAAAAGCCTCTGGACACTTGTGAAAAAGGCCCCACACCCATCCCAAATTCCAATTCAGTGGCTCTAAGCTGGGGCCCAGAAGTCTAATTTTAAGAAGCATTTTGGAGAGTCTGATGGTGATGATCCTTGAACAAAACATTTGAAACCCTGGTTTCTGGTGGTTTGGTTCTTGACTCTGTCATTTCCAGGTGACAAGATGCTTGGCTTAACCCCACTTCTGCTCAGTCTGTGAGTGCCTCTCATCTGATTATTGTAAGGACTAAATTCAGTCACATGTGTGAAGCACAGTGCTTTCCGTAAATACCAGCTGATAACTACTGTCTAAAGGCTAAAGCCATCAAGCTCTGTGCACCTGGTGTGCCTCTCTGAGCTCTAGTGGTACCCAGCCAGGAAGGCCAGACACTGAAGTCTTTTGGTCCAGGTACCAGTCCCTTGGCCAGAGCTGCCAAATTCTTGCTGATGGATGGCATCCCTCTCCCTTCCTTGATCCCAATAGTGCCCTCCCACTGGTGCTTTTCTTTCTCCTCCACAGCTAAATTTGTCAAAAGATATCTCCACATACCTTCTCCCTTTCCTCATCTGATGGTGACTTTTCTACCCACTCCAGTTTGGCTCTAATCCCCAGACCAGTGACCTTCATTCTGCTAAATACTGTGGATGGAGCATTCCACACAGATGAGTGCTCCTGCTGTCTTAAAATAATCTCTGGCTTCATGAGATCACACTCTCCTTGCCTCTCTCACCTCCCTGGGGACCCCTCTTCATCTCCTTGCAGTCCCATTTTCCTCTACCCGTCCATAAACTGTTGGAGTTCTCCCCGTCCTAGTCTAGGCCCTTTTCTCCATCCTTCTAAGTCAGGGGTGTCAAACTCATTTTCACTGGGGGCCACATCAGCCTCACAGTTGCCTTCAACCAAAATAATTTTAGAACTGTAAAATTGTAACTACTCCTTAACTGTTAAGGAGTTGAAATTACATTCAGCCCTTTGAAGGCAACCATGAGGCTGTGGCCCCCGGTGAAAATGAGTTTGACACCCCTGTTCTAAGTAATCACACCTGCCCCTCTGCTTCCAATACCATTTATTGAGTGAGGCTCAGGTTTCTTCTCCCAGCTCCTGACCCCATGCAACCAGCTGCCTGCTATTCAATTCTGTTTATTCCTTCACTCAGCCAGCAGATATATGCATAGATATGGAATGCCCACTATGTTTTCGCACCACGGTAGCAGCCAGAGCAGCCTTTTCAAACACAAATCCGGTGCTGTGCTCCCATGTACCCTCACACATTTTTACTTGGATCTGGATTCCCTTAGCAACAAGACCTGGCAGGCCTGCCCCTGCTGACCATTCTCCAGCCATTCTGGTGCTCTTTTATTTCCTCAACTGCATGATGTTCCATCCTGCTACTGGGCCTTTGTCCTTGCTTTTCTCCTTCCTCACAGTCTGCTGTTTGTTATATATACACGTGAAAGAGGATGGGATGTGAGGTTGTATGTATGTTTGACATTTTATATGTTCACATGTATCTAAAAGGAAACATATCCACGTAAGAACCTCTTGGGAGGGGAAGGGTTCAGAGGATTATGTTATAGAGGAGTTTTGATTTATCTGTATTGTTAGAATTTTTGACAGCATGAACATGTTCATGTAGTGTGAATTCTCCTTCTTTAAAGTCTGGAGCATTACCTAGCACGGCACCTTGTATGCAGTAGGATGACCATTACTGGAGACCTTTGTTGTTATTTTAATAGTTTGTACCACTGCCTGTACAGACCCTACATATGAGAAGGTGAAGACTCTAGAAATCTTGAAAAATGATAAATGAGAAAACAGGAAATTAAAATATAAATACAAGGCCTTGCCTAGTGTGGCTCAGTGTATTGAGTGCTGGCCTGCGAACCAAAGAGTTGCTGGTTCGATTCCCAGTCAAGGCACCTGCCTGGGTTGTGGGCCAGGTCCCCAGGAGGGGGCATGTGAGAGACAACAACATGTTGATGTTTCTCTCCCTCTCTTTCTCCTTCCCTTCCCCTCTCTTTAAAAATAAATAAAATCTTTTAAAAATACATAAACACATATATACTTGGAACTAATATAAAATAATATTTAATGTCAAATGTAATTAAAAAAATAAAAGTGTACAAAGAAGAAAATATATACAAGGTGAGGCAAAAGTATGTTTACAGTTATGAGTACACAAAATACGGTTTATTTTTATATTATTATTTATTAATTATTGTATTATTTCCCACAGAACAGCCGTTAGCCCACTTTTGCCCCACCCTCTACATGCACAGAGCCCAGTGATCTGTGTGTACATTAAGTGTTAAAGTAAACTTGGGGTGATACAGAGTCTTAGTTTAATCTTCTTCAGGTTCTTTTTCTGAAAAGCTGATGACGAAGATAAAATGGAGATCATTGTTTTTCTTTGGCAAAATAGGCGAACTGCTCCTTAAAAACTTTTATCATCATAATTTTCAAATATGTACAATAGTAGAGAGAACAGCAAAATGAACACCCATGCCCATCACCCACCTTCTACAACTGTCAGCATTTTTCTATTTTTCCTTTTTTAATGAATTTTTATTTGTAATTACAGTTGATAATATAGTAGTTTCAGGTTTACAACCCAGTGATTAGACATGTATATAACTTACTAAATGATCACTCTGATAAGTCTAATACCCATCTGGCACCATATTTAGTTATTACAATATCATTAACTATATTTTCTATACTATACTTCCCCATGACTATTTTGTAATTACCAATTTGTACTTAATTCCTTCATCTTTTTCACTCAGCCCCTCATTCACCCTCCCTTCTGACAACCATCAAAATGTTTTCTGTATCTATGAGTCTGTTTCTTTTCTGTTTGTTTATTTACTTTGTTCTTTACAGTCCACATATAGGTGAAGTTATATGGTATTTGTCTTCTCTGTCTGGCTGACTTTACTCAGCTCAGTACCTCTAAGCCCATCCATGTTGTCACAAATGACAAGCTTTCATTTTTTTTATGGCCGAGTTATATTCCATTGTCTAAATGCACCACTTCTTTATTTATGTACCTGTTGATGGACACTTAGGTTGCTTCCATATCTTGACTATTGTAAATAATGCTGCAGTGAACATATGGGTGTATAGGTCTTTTCTTTTCATGTATTTATTTATTTATTTATTCATTTAAAAAATATGTCTTTTCAATTTAGTGTTTTAGATATCCTTGAATAAATACCCAGAAGTGGAATTGCTGGATTCTTCTTTATCTCTTTTACAGCCTTTGTTTTAAAGTCTGTTTTGTATTTGGTATAAGTATTGGTACCACAGCTTTTTTAATTTCCATTTTCATGAATATCTTTTTCCATCCCTTTACTTTAAGTCTGTGTGTGTCTTTCTATCTGGAGTGTCTTGTCAACAGTATATGTATAGTCTTTTTTTTTTAATCCATTTAGCTACCCTTTGTCTTTTGATTGGAGCATTTAAAAAAATGTTTTTAGAAATTTTATTTATTTTATTTTTAGAGAGAGGGGAAGGAAGAAAGAAAGAGAGGGAGAGAAACATCAGCATGTGGTTGCCTCTCACACAGCCCCTACTGGGTATTTGGCCTGCAACCCAGGCATGTTCCCTGACTGGGAATCAAACTGGTGACCCTTTGGTTGACAGCCCGCACTCAATCCACTGAGCCACACCAGCCAGGGCAGTGATTGGAGCATTTAATCCATTTTCATTTAAAGTAACTATTGAGCCCTGGCTGGTATGGCTCAGTAGGTTAAGTGTCATTCTGGGAACTGAAAAGGTCACAGGTTTTATTCCCAGTTGGGGCACATTCCTGGGTTGCAGGCCAGGTCCCCAGTTAGAGTTGTGCAAGAGGCAACCAACTGATGTTTCTCTCGCACACTAAAGTTTCTTTCCCTCTCTTTCTCCCTCCTTTCTTCTTTCTTTAAAAGTAAATAAAATCTTAGAAAAATAAATAAAGTAGATATGATAGATATGTATTTATTGCCATTTTATTGTTCATATTTTTTATGTGGTTTTCCCTTCTTAAAGAAGACCCTTTAACATTTCATGTAGTACTGATTTGGTGGTGATCAACAATAACTTTTTCTTGTCTGGGAAGATGTTTCTGTGTCCCTTGATTATAAATGACAGCTTTGCTGGGTAGAGTAGTCTTGGTTGTAGGTCTCTGCTTTGCATCAATTTGAATATTTTGTGCCAGTCTCTTCCTGTTTGCAAAGTTTCTGTGGAGAACTCAGCTGACAGTTTTCTGGGAACTCCATAACAAGTAACTAACTGCTTTTGTCTTGCTGCTTTTAAGATTCTGTCTTTGGCAGAAGCCGAGATCTTCCAGAGCCAGTGGGGGGAAAAAAAGAGCCCTGGCTCTCTCTAACTGGGAGGCTCAGAGGCTCGCTGGAACTCCCTGGCTCCTGAGGTGGGGCTGTCAGTCTCACGCTCTCAGGCTGTTCTTCCAGAAGGAGACTAGACGACTGTGCTGCTGTGCCTGCATTTCCCAAAGGATTGCATTTTCTATGGGTAGGAACTCCAGGCTGGCCTGGCAGAGGGTGGCAGGCGTATTTTTTCAGTGTTCTCCAGGGAACAGGCTGTGAGGCAAAAGCCTGTCATTCTTCCAGAACTGTGTAGTTTTTGTATATTATGTTGTTTTTATTTTGTAAACTAACCATATAGAAACAAGACACTGTAGAAACTAACAGGAAAAAAGACAGGACAACTCAAGTGTTAGAGTTTAGCCTTAATAGATAGGCTTAAGTGATTAAAGCTGTGACTTGATAGGCTTCAGTATATGCTTTTGAATAAAGACTCCTTTCTTTTATCATCAAACCTTTGCCTCTGAAATGTTTGCCTCTGGAGGGTGGGCAGTGGGCAGCAGAACCCAAAGTGATGTTCGGTAACATCCCTATTTATTGCAATGTAATTCACAGTAGCCAAGATTTGCAGTCAGACTTAGGACCTGTCAGTACATGAGTGGGGAAAAAAGCCTGAGGAATTCTTTTTATGTCCCTTCACTTATTTTGTGTACCATTTTGAGCTTTCCTAGAAAACAGTTTGTGGTAATAGCAATTATATTTGAATTTTCCTTTTTTATATAGCTGATTCTAGTTTCCTACAATTTTGACCATTATTATCTTAGTAATATTTTTAAAACACAGTATTTTAAAATAAAACTATTGTTATTAACCATTTTATTCCACATTTAACTTTCAAAACAGCCCTCTGAGATAAGTGCTTTTTAAAATCCCATTATTAAAGATTCTCTCTTTGTCTTTAACCTTTGGCCTTTTAATTATGATATGCTTTGGTGTGGGCCTGGACTCTGTGCTCCTGAACTTGTGTGTGTTCTTCACCACCTGAAGGAAGTTTCCCATCACTGTATTTTCAAATAGGTTTTCAGTTCCTTCTGGTACCCCCATGATGCAAATGGTGGTACACTTGATGTTGTCCCAGGGGCCCCTTAAACTGTCCTCATTTTGGCGGGACTCTTTTTCCTTTTTGTTGTTGTGATTGGGTATTTTTTGCTTCTTTCTCTTCCAAATTGCTGATTTGATCCTCTGCTTCATCTACTCTACTGCTGATTTCTTTTACTGTAGTCTTCATTTGGTTATTGTACTCTTCATCTCTGACTGGTCCTTTTTATATTTTCTACCTTCATATTTATGTTTTTATCTCTTTGTTGAGTTGACCTATTCTTTTCCTTAAGTTCACTGAGCATTCGTATAACTAGTACTTTGAACTCTGTCTGGTAGATTGCTCATCTCCATTTTGTTTAGTTCTCTTTCTGGAGTGTTGTCCTGTTTTGTCATTTGGGACATTTTTCTTTGTCTCCACATTTTGGCAGCCTCGCTGTGTTTGTTTCTGTGTATTAAATAGAGCTGCTATGCCTCCCAGGCTTTGAACAGTGGCCTTATATAGTAGGTGACCTATAGGGCCCACTGGCACAGTCTCCCTAGCCACCCCGCAGTGTGGGCTGTGTGTACCCTCTTGCTGTAGTTGAGCCTTGATTGTGGTTGGCCCATCAGTGGGAAGGACTGAGCCCCCCTCCCCAGGCTAATTGGCTGAAAGGACTGGCCAGGACTACAACAGACGAGTTTTTGGGCAGGGGCTGACCCCATGGAGCAGCACATGCTTCAGTGGGGCTCTGGTGCCGGATGAGTCCGCCCCTTGAGTGTGTCACTGGTGGAGTTGGTTGGGTGGTACTCTGGTGTGGTCTGGAGTTGTCCTTTGGATTGATGCACTGGCTCTGGGGCCTCCTGGGTGGTACAGACCAAGGTTGGCCACTCCTTGTGTCATGCGTGGGCCACCTAGCATGAACTACAAAGCAGTCTGCAGATGGCTGCCACTTGTGCTAGGTTTGGAGGTGCCCAGGAGAAGCCAAGCTGTGAACTGAGGCTGGCTGCCACTAGTGCCAGGCTTAGGGTTGCTTAGCAACAGGGATAGGGCATGCTGAGTCAGATGCTGCTTGTTTGGGGTTTGTGAACCTTTGAGAGATTTTCACAAAGTCCAAAGTGTGAGCCAGGATAGGCTGTTTAAATGGAAACACCACTGGAAGTAACTTGAGTGGGTCCGAAGGTTAGGTGGGGTGGATGGAGTCTCAGGGAACCACCAGAGAAGAGTGAACAGTGTGAGTCAGGTGGATGGAGACTCAGATATGGTGCCCGCCTGCTGGCTGTGTGGGGTGAGGGCTCAGCAAAGGAACAATGTGTTCCGCCAGCACTTTTCTCTGGGAGAAAGCTGCCTCTGCAGCCCTCACCACAAAGCCAGACAGTTCAGTTCCTACCCCTATGTCTCTGACCCCTTTTGAGCTGCTGCCCCAGCACTGGAGCTCAGAGCAAGTGAGTCCATCAGGAGTAACTCCATGTGCAGGCCCTTTAAAAGGAACGCCTAGGACCCTAGAAGCCCTCTGTCTCACTCAGCCACAATCCTTACTGATTTTTGTAGCCAGAAGTTATTAGGACTTCTCTTTCTGGCACTAGAACCCTGGGCTGGGAGTCCTGGTGTAAGGCTGGGACCCCTCACTCTGTAGGGGGGACCTCAGCAGCTGAGCTATTCCTCTTGAATCTTAACTCCCTACGTGGGTGTGGGACCTGACTGTCCTGTATTTCTGTGCCTCCTACCAGTCTCTATATGGCTTCTTCCACATCTCCTTAGTTATAGGACTTCTGTTCAGCTAGACTTCAGGTGGTTCTCAGTGATGGTTGGTCTGTAGTTTAGTTGTAAGTTTGAAATGGTGACAGGAAGATGTTGGTGCTTCATTTACCTACTCTGCCATTTTTACTGGAAGCCTGTTTTTCTTCATTTAATTCCCTGCCTTCCCCCAGCTTTATTTTGTGAAGAATTTAAGGGGGACATAAAAAGATTCCATTAAATATGAAAGCAGTATATCTGATATAGCGTTGTAATATACCAAATCAAGACTGTTGTAAAAGAGTTATTTAAAATGTAAGTTATTTTTGTATCAGTTTAAACATTTGCTTATCAGAAACTTATTCAGCACCTACTCTGTGCCAGAAATGATGGAGCCACAGGCTTTATCCTCACATTCTGGTTGCAAGGGAGGATGTGCCGGTGGCGAGCTGCCGGGGCAGAGGTGGGCGTGGAGACCAGAGCGTGGCCAACATCGCCTGACAGCTGTGGAAGGTGTCAGGGAGAGAGGGTGTGAGGCTGGAAGGACCAGGTAGGGTTTCACCCAGTACCCCAGTCCAGGCTGCCACAAGACACTTAGCAAAAACAGTTTTATGAATAATGAATGTCAACTTTAATTGGAAAACATTTTTAAAAATTTAAAAAGGAAAAGGAAAAAAAACAATTTGGTCAAAAATAGTGGATTAGGTGACTTTTGGTCAAAAATAAGCTCTTCATTGGTAAGTGTCAAAGTGTTGGTAATTGTGATGAACCAAGAAGTATTTAAGCATTGTCTGTTTCTTTGAATTCTGTAAGTTTTTTCTACTTTTTTGCATATTTGTTTCTAATTTATTTTTCAGCCAGTTATTTCTGTTCTGCAAATTAATCATGGAAAGTTAAAAGCAAACAATTTCTAAAAAGTTGAAAGTCCAACTTTTTACTGCAACAAAGGGTACTGGCAAAGTGGGTTGTAAGGTGGCCCACTTCAAGGAGGATCTTAGTCATGAATGTGTATTTGTAAGGTAAAAATGAGTTACTGGGCAAGATTTGTTTTCATCTGTGTCACTGGGGCAGTTTGCTTCAAGAAACAGCTACTTTTCTGACAAAGTCAGATGGCACCTCCAGGCAGGGTAGGCCCATCCCATTTGGGGAATGGCAGGTGGATCCGGTGGAGAGAGCACAGGGGTGGGGGACATGTGGGAAAGTTGGAGAGGAGCCCTGCATGGAAAGGGCTCAGAGTCACTCTAAGGAATTTGGCCTTGGTGCTCCAGTCCTGTGAGCTGCTGAGGCTGCTTGGGAATGAGCAGGACAGACAAAGATGAGCAGTTCAGAGCGGGCACCCTGCTTTGTTTAGCTCATCGGTAGAAAGTGAGTTTCTGTGATTGTGCTCTTATTGTCAAATGTCTTTATCTGCTTTTAATTTTTTTCCTTTCTTCTTTAAATCAGATGGCGAATATTCTGTTCTGAATTTAAAGGTAAGATTACTTTTTTAAAAACTGGTTTTCTCAATAGATTAAATTTCCACCATAATTTTTAAACCACTTTTGTGATTTGTGGAGAAAAATCTTCCCTTAAGAGTTCTTTCTGATTAAAAGTTTCTTTTTAAATACTTAAAAAATTTGAAGAAATTCATATTTTCCACATTTTAAAAGTGAAAGTAATGTATTGAGAGTTTAGAAATCACTTATGTAACTTGTGAAATGAATAGATAATAACTAATTTGCAAATATAGAAATAGTTCTAATTTGAGTTTTGTGTGATGTCATAGGAATTTAAAAATTAAACATTTGTCAGTAGAATTAATTGATAACCCCATCTACTTTCTCAGCAGCAGTTAGAAGCTTAATATTAGACTGATGTGTAATGGAAAAATTAACAAAAGTTCAAAGGTTTCCCTTTCTTCAAAGTTTTGTGTTGAAAAACAAGATCTTACATTCTTTTCTGAGTACCCTGAAAACATGCTTCTCTGCAGTTTATGGGGTCTTCTTGCACACCCCAAGGAGAGTAGGCCCGGTTGGCGTTTGTTTTGCATGTCTCTGCTCAGCACTTGCCGCTGTATCACATGGTTTAGCATGTGAACTGATGGCCTGTTACTGATGGGCCCTACATATAAGGACACAGCGCCTGTCTGAACTCACAGGCAAAAAGGTAGAAAGTTTGAACAGAAGATGCTAAGACTCTCGATTTATTAGGCTCATGTTTTTTCTCCCCACCCAGGATGAAAAACCACCATTATGTGGAAAACCTCCACCCTCCCCAGGTATTTACCTTTTGATTTTCATTATGATTGAAAAGCTTATAATTTTATAGAATACCCAGAGTAATCTCATCTAAAATAAAGGTCTCTCTCTGGCTGGCGTAGCTCAGTGGATTGAGTGCTGGCCTGTGAACCAAAGGGTCGCCAGTTCAGTTCCCAGTCAGGGCACATGCCTGGGTTTCAGGCCAGGTCCCCATTAGGGGTGTGCAAGAGGCAACAACGCATTGATGTTTTTCTCCCTCACTTTCTCCCTCCCCTCTCCTCTGTCTAAAAATAAAATAAATAAAATCTTTATTAAAAATTTTTAAAAATAAAATAAAGGGTGTTTTTTTTTTTCCCCTACAAAAGCTGCTGGTTCTGTCCCACTACTGGAATTGGGAAAAGGTTGCAGTTATTGAACTTCCACCTTCGCCTCAAAAGAGAGGGTCCAGCCCTGACTGTCATGGTTCAGTTGGCTGAGTGTTGTCCCACAAAGCGACAGTTGTCTCCGGTTCAGTTCCCAGTCAGGGCACGTGCCTGAGTTTTGGCCTGTCTCTGGTCAGGTTGTGTGTGAAGACAACTGATCAATGTTTCTCTCCCTTTTTTCCTTCCTTTCTCTCTCTCTAAAAATAAAGAAATCTTTTTTTAAAAATGAGAGAGAGAGAGGTGGTCCAAACATTCAAACATTGGATGGTGGAAGTATGTCCCCAGGGGTGTGCTCAGACCCTGGGTGATGGTGGGTAGAGGGACCTGTGGGGTGTGCTTAGACCCTTGGAGGGTAGGTATATGCAAATAAGGGCTGTTCTCTGGGGCGTGGAGGCAGCATATGGTCTAGAGATGTTTTCTGATGTACTTTTCATTTTGGAGCTTCAGTAGCTTTCAAAGTGCATTTTGTAATTTTTGCCTGTTATGCTTCACATCACTATTTGAAAACCATATTGGGAATCAAGACTTTTAAGTCTGTCCTCCATGTGGGATTGACTTGAATTTCACCCATTCTTAGTGTTTTTGGTGCTATATCGTGGGAGTTTGCTAGGGCTCTAACTTCTAGCCCATGGGGTCATTTGCCATTGTATGTATTCTGCCACTCAGCCATCCTTTGAATTGATGTATTATTTAAGATGCTTACATGATTTCTATGAGGTATTGATAAGCATCTCTCTGAGAATATTAAATGTACTCATTCCAAAATCTTATAGTTTTTGTGCCAGCCTCTCTCTCCTGTTATTTGACTTTGGGGCTTCTCATGGTTCAGACACTTGATGGTTCTTGGTGGTATGCCTGCCCTAGTTCCTGAGAGTCCCTGAGAGTCCCTGTTAGTCTGCTCAGGGATGCTGTATCTGCTTACTGCAGGCTGCTCCGATGGGGAAGCCAGCCAGGCTGCCAATTGTACAGCCTGTTTCCAGTGACTGCCGGGCCTTTGAGCCCACCCTGCCTCTCGGACCTCAGTGCCTATAGGTACTGCCTGCCAAGGGGCATGCATCTCTGCTGTCAGCTGCCTGGCCCAGGGGTTTGAGCCCCATCTGGTGCTCTAACTGGACTCCTCATTAGTCCTTTCTAGGCCCTTTCAGTTCCCACTTCCTGCTAGGGCAAGGCATCCCCACCTTTTGTAGCTGACGTCTCCTGGCATATTTTAGGTTGCAGCTTCTGTCTTCAACCTAATCTCAGCTGTTTTCTTTCTGGGATTCCTCATGGTTCCCCTCTCTTTCTCAGTGTAGCTGTGGAGTTACTCACTGCTTAGCCTTTCCTTTCTTGTTCTAAGGACCAGATATATGGGTATCAGGGGCCAGGGGAGGTTATCTGGAGTCACAGTCCCCTCCCTAGCCCTTGTCTATCCGCTGGGGTGTGCATTGAATCTACTGTCTAGAGCCACCAGCCCTCACATGCTTGTCGGTCCACAGAAGCTCTGCTTCTTGTTTCTACTGCCGGAAGCATGCCCTGGCCAGGGAGCTCATTGTGGCTTTCACCTTTTTTTACCTCTGTGAGCATATCTTAAAATGTGGAACATCACTCTCTGTTTTCTTCCTATCTTCCTTACTATTTCTTCTTAAAATCCTTCGTTATTGCTGGTTTTCTTCTCTCCCTGGTGCCATCAGGTAGTGCCCGCATGCTGGTGGCACCCGTCTCATCAGCTGAGGCTGCCTTCAGAGCTTTGGGCCTGTCTCCTAAACTGAGCTTACCTTCCATTGCTCCATTTGTGTTCCTTGTCTGGCTAAGTGTCTTCCAAACCACAGATCTTGGTGCTCATCCTTGATTTTCCTCTCCCTCACTGTCCACACCTAGTCAGCTATTGAACCCTGTTTGGTCTTATCCCTGAATCCTTCTTCCATATAACCCTTCCTCTCTATCCCCACCATAGTGCTGCCCCTCAGAGCCCTTCTGGGCTGGGCCTCATTCATTCACTTTCTTTGCTGCTGGCGTGACAGATTCATCTGAGAGTAGAGCCTCTTCCTTTTCACACCTCTGCCTAAAAGGCTTTCTGGTTCCTGGTGGCCTCCTCTGGTTCCCGCTTCCCCCTCTGTCACCTCTCTTCCTGTCATCCACTGTAGTCTCACCAGACCAATCATTCTTTCTTATACAGGCCATTCTTTCTCCCAGGACCAAAGAACACAGCGTGAGGCCTGACAGGAAGTGGTTGCACACATGGCTTTTCAAATGAGATCTTGTGTAATGTTGACGTAAAATTGTAAATGTCAGTTACTGTTTTAAAACATTTTCCCTTTCCCTGTACCTTTTCAGATATAATTGGTAAAATACGTCAACAATGGATAGAAATAACCAAAGAAAAGTTTGAGGAATTAAAAGAAGAAAATTTGCATGTGAACAGTACAAACCAAACCCTTACTCTTGAACTTAACATGGTAAAACAAGAAATGAAAAAACTTAAGAGAATGCAAAAAGAAAATGGACAGCTGAAGGAGGCTGAGCAAGCATCCTGTCAGGAAGGTGGGGACAGCTATACAGTTCTTTTATTAAAGGAACAAACAGGGCGTCACTCATTTTCTTATTTATTTTGAGAGTTAATATTTTAGGTTATAATATTTGTTATTAATGTTCATATTTTGTGTTATAATGTTTTCATTAATATCCTTATACTTGTAATTTGATTTTATCTGCTCTATCATTATTGTTGTGCTAAAGAAATTCCAATACTTCTGGATCTGATGTTTAGGAGATTAACTTTACATATATTTCATATCAGTTTTTATCCCACTGAGCAGTGTATAAAGTGCCTTTTACTACGTATTTACCAATGATGAGGATTATATTTTTCTTTCTAATTTGATAGGAAAAAGAAGAAGGAATCACATTTTAATTTGTATTTCTTTTTATTATTGATGAGCTTAAATATTCATATCTTTGCAGATCACTTTATTTTCCATTTTCAAATTTTCCCATTTTTGCCCTGGCTAGTGTGGCTCAGTGCACTGAGTGCTAGCCTGCAAATCAAAGGGTCACTGGCTCGATGCCCAGTTAGGGTGCGGGCCTGGGGTGCGGGCCAGGTCCCCAGTGAGGGGTGCATAAGAGTCAACTACACATTGATATTTCTCTCCCTCTCTTTCTCTTTCCTGTCCCCTCTCCCTAAAAATAAATGAATAAAATCTTTAAAATATCAATTTTCCCACTTTATATTAAGATACTTGGCTTTTTCTCATGGTTCATAGGAGCTCTTTATGTATTAAGGATATTAGCCTTTGTCATATATGTAATATTTTCTCAGTTTGTTGATAATTTAACTAAATCTATGAAATAATTTTTATGACTTACTCCCTTTTTACCTGTAAGATTATATAAATATTTGCTAATGTTGTCTCTATACATTTATCTATTTACATAGGACTAATATTATTGCCTGAACAGAGATGATGTCATTTTCTTCATATTTACTCTGCATATTTTTTGTCTTATGCACATTTATTTCTAGATACTTTATATTATTTGTATTATTACTTTGTGGAATCTATTTTCTATTATGTTTTCTAATAGACATTGCTATTATTTGTAAAGGTTATTCTAATAAATTTTCCATTCTGTATGATTTGCAAGGCAAATATTTAGATATCATTGGAAACAATTACTTTTCCTTTTCAATGTAAAGTTTTCATTTTGACTTAATTAATAGTACATGTAAAAACTTCCACAAACTTCCAAAGTGTTGACTACTTAGTATTAAAAAACTTAGAAATTATTATTCATTTATACCTATATATTTGTCATTCAGAGCCTCTGTGAGCCTAAAAGAAAAAAATGGCAGGTAGTTAGCAATTTATATAAAATCTTAATTAATCTGACACAAGTTCTTATAGTGTAATTTTTTTTTCAGTAGTTGCTGCACCTGAATTATTTTCTCTAAGAAAACAAACTCAAGAACTAGTGGATGAAAATGATGGGTTGAAAATGACTGTCCACCGTTTGAATGTAGAACTGAGCAGATATCAAACAAAATTCAGGCATTTATCCAAGGAAGAGGTAATGTTTCCAATGAAGAAAAATCAGTTTTCAGATTTTTTTAACCCTTCCTTTTAAGTTTAATTTCTGAATATGAGGGGTTCATATCTATTACAAAATTTGGTATAAAATGACAAAGCACAGTATTTCTAGGGACCTTTCTGCTTCCTTCTTCCTTCCACCTCCTCACTTTGTTTTCTCCCTTCTTTCCCTCACTCACTTCCTCCCTTTCTTCCCTCCTTTCTCCTAACAAAGGCAGTAAAGGCTCTTTATAAAAAAGTAGGACTGCCCTAGCCAGTGTGACTCAGTTGGGTGGAGCATTTTCCTGTAAACCTAAAGGTCATGGGTTCAATTCCCAGTGAGGGCAAATGCCTGGGTTTTGAGTATGGTCCATGGTCGGGGGTGCCTGTGCAAGGCAACCAATCGATGTTTCTCTCTCACATCAATGTTTCTCTCTATCTCTCTCCCTCCCTTTTCTTCTCTCTAAAATCAATAAGCATATTCTAGGGCAAGGATAACAAAAAAAAATTGGGACAGTACAGAAGTTTATGTAAAGTTGAAGAATGAAAGTCCATGTAGCTGCTCCATTCTCAGTCTTGTTCCTCAAGTTTACAACTGTTGTTTGTCAGTTCACTAGCTTCCAAAAGAAGGCAGACTAGTTTATACTGACCTCAAATCACCTAACTCTAGTTATTGGGGCTTGCATTTATGAGTCCCACACAACTTTACAGCAAACAAAGAAACAATTTTTAAATGGACTCAACTATATACCTAGGCTCAGCACAAAGGAAGCAGGCAAAAATGACCATCTCCCACCTTCTTGTCTCAGAAAGGTATAATTGCATACTTTCCTAGCTGCTGCCTGGCCTCTAATCATCCTGCATCTAGATGCAGACTGCATTCACCCTCACTGGGACACTGGTGGGTCTTGGTACACTCTCAACTAATGGGAGCCACTAAGAACAAAGACAGTGGACAGAGGTTTGAAAGGCAACCGGGAACTCCAACTGGGCTGATTGATAAGGTTCATCTCCAACAGAAGATCATTAGGCTGACTGATGAGATTTATCTTTTACAATGGACCCTTCTGTCAAGACTGGGAGAGGTAGCTGCAAAACCAACACAGAGAGTTAAGGCAAATGAAGAAAGAAATATGTTTCAAACAGAAGAACAAAATTAATCTTCAGAAATCAGTCTTAATGAAATGGAGATAAGTGATCTACTCAATAGAGAGTTCAAAATAGTCATAAAGATGCTCATCGAAGTCAGGAAAACAGTGCATGAACAAGTGAGAATTTCAACAGTGAGAGAACATATAAAAAGGTAACAAACAAATCATAAACCTGAAGAACACAGTAACTCAATTGAAAATTTCAATGGAAGGGTTCCAGAGTTGACTAGAGCAAGAGGGAAAAGGACCAGCGAACTTGAAGACAGGGCAGTGGTATCCATCCAATTAGAGGATCAAAAAAGAAAAAATGAAAAAAGTAAAGACAGCGTAAGGGACTTAAGGAATACCATCAAGCAGAGGAATATACATATCACAGAGGTCTTAGAAGGAGAGGAGAGAGAGGAACAGAAAGCTTAGCAAAGAAACAATGGCTGAAAAGTTCCTTAACCTCGGGAAAGAAACAGACATCCAGATTCAGGAAGTCCAGAGCACCAAATGGGATTAATCTAAAGAGACCCATACCACCACACATTATCATTAAGTTGTCAAAAGTTAAGAGAGAATCTTAAAACAGAAAGAGAACAAAAACTCTTCATGAGGGGATCTCCATAAAATTGTAAGTGGAATTTTCAGTGGAAAGTGCAGGCCACAAGAGAGTAGGATGCCAACTAAGAACACTCTACCTGGTAAAGTGCCCTTCAGAACTGAAAGAGAGATAAAGTATTTTCCAGACAAACAAAACCTGAAGGAGCTCATCACCAGCGGACCAGCCTTCCAAGAAATGGAGTCCTTCAGGCTGAAAGGAATGGGTGCTAATTAGTAACAAAACCATATGAAAGTATGAAACTCACTGGTAAAGGTAAATATATAGTTAAATTCAGAATACTCTAATATTGTAATGGTTGTGGGTTGTATCACTTATAACTCCAGTAAAAAGGTTAAAGACAAAAGTATTTAAAATAACTACACAATAATTTGTTAATGGACACACAATATAAAAAGATAAAAATTATGATAGCAAAAACAAAATGTGGGGCAGTGGTAAAAAACATAGAGTTTTATATGTTTGGTGTTAACCAAGACCCACCAGTGTCCTAACAAGGGGAATTGTAGTGAGCATGTAGATGCAAGCTGATTAGAAGCTCGAAGTAAAGTTGTTATTAGCTTAAATGACTGTTAAAAGATGTTTTATGCAAGCCTCATGGTAGTCACAAAACAAAAACCTATAGTAAATGTACACAAAAAATAAAAAAGGAATCAAGAATCACAGCATACTACTACAAAAAATCATCCCATCACAAAGGAGGAGAGCAAGAAAAGGAGAAATGAAGAAAGGAACGACAAAACAGCTACAAAACAATGAACAAAATGGTAATTAAAAAGTCCATACTTAATTACTTTAAATGAAAGGACTAAGTTCTACAGTCAAAAGACATAGAGTGGCAAAATAGGTAAAAGAAAAACAAGACCCAACTCTAGGCTGCCTACAAAAGACTTACTTAAGCTGTAAGGACACACTCAGATTGAAAGTGAAGGGGTGGAAAAATATGTTTAATGCAAATGGAAAGCAGGAGTAGCTATGCTTACACCAGGCAAAACAGATTTTAAGTCAAAACTGTAAAAGAGACAAAGAAGTTTATTATATAATGATAGGTCATCGAGAGAATATATTTGTAAATATGCACCCAACATCAGATATATATACATACATATATATATATATACATACACACACACACACACACACACACTTATATATAATATTAACAACTGAAGGGAGAAGCAGCAATAATAGCAGAGGAATCAATACTCCAACAATAGATAGATCATCAAAACAGAATATTAGTAAGGAAATATTGGACTTAAACTACATGTTAGACCAGGTGGACCTAATATAGAACTTATCATCCAACAGCAGAAGAATGCACATTCTTCTCAAGTGCATGTCGAACAGTCTTTAGGATGGACCATATGTAAGGTCACAAAATAAGTCAATAAATTTAAGAAGATTGAAATCATATCAAGCATCTTTTCTGACCATAATGTATGAAATTAGAAATCAATTATAAGAAAACTTACAAACATGGGAATTGAACATGCTACTGAACAACCAAGATGTATAAATAGCATTTGACAAAATTCAGTACCTTCTCACCATAAAAACTCAACTCTGAGAAAGAAGAACAAAGCTGGAGGCATCACACCTCCTGATTTCAAACTATATCACAAAGCTATAGTAATCAAAATAATATGGAACTGGCATGAAAATAGGCACATCAATGGAACAGAAATAAATCCATACATATGTGATTGATTTACTTTTGATAAAGGAGCCAAGGATATACCACAAAGAGAGGATAGTCTCTTCAAGAAATGCTGTTTGGAAAACTGGCTATCCTTATGCAAAAGAATCTTACACCATACACAAAAATTAACTCAAAATGGATTAAAGACTTGAATGTAAAACCTGAAAAAATAAAAGTCCTTGACATTGGCCTTGGCAATGATTTTTTGGATTTGATAGAAAGCAATGTTAATAAAAGCAGAAATAAACAAATGGGACTATATCAAAATAAAAATCCTATATAACAAATGTAACCATGAGCATAATGAAAAGGCAACCCATGGAATGGGAGAAAATATTTGCAAACCACATCTTTGATAAAGGATTAATATCCAAAACGTACAAAGAACTCATGTAGTTCAATAGCACAAAAACAAATAAACCAATTTTTTTTAATGGGCAAAAAAACCTAAACACAATAGATATTTTCCAAAGAAGATATATAAATGGCCAACAATTACATGAAAAGTTGCTCAACATTGTAATTATCAGGGAAATGCAAATCAAAACCACAGAAAGATACCACCTCATACCTATTAGCATGTCAATTATCAAAAAGACAAGAGATAAGAAATGAGGGAATGGGTGTAAAGAAAAGGGAATCCTTGTACATTGTTGATAGGAGTGTGAATTATAGTCACAATGGAAAATAGTATGGAGGTTCATCTGGAAATTAAAAATAAAACTGACATGTAATTCAGCATGCCCACTTCTGGGTATATATCCAAAAGAAAATCACTGTCGTGATAACATGTACACCCATATTTATTACAGCATTGTTCACATTAGCTAAGGTATGGAAGCCTATGTGTCCATGGGTAAAGAAAATGTGAGATACATGTGATTTATGATATATGTGTATATGAATGGTTTACATATATATGATGGAATATTATTTAGCCTTTAAAAAGAAGGCAACCCTGCCATTTGTAACAACATAGATGAACCTAAGGGCATTATGCTAAGTGAAATAAGCCAGACAGATACTGCATGGTATCACTTATATGTGGATTCAAAAAGAGAAAAGAAAATAGGTGAAATTTGAATATATTCTATAGATTAGAACATAGTACATCACTGTTGATTTCTTGATTTTTATGACACTGCTGTGGTTGAGTAAGTGAAGGTTTTTCTTTTCAGGAATTATACACCGAAGTATTGCAGGAAAGGAGGCATTATAACTACAAATTATTCCTAAATAATTCAAAAGAAATTTTTCTGATGTATATGTGCCTACATATATAGATGCATAGATTGCTGATACATAGTAGATTAAGAACATCTAAGGCTTGACATTTCAAGGGTGTTGTTTAATTTGTGTTCAAAATGTGTTTTGTTCTTAGAATATAAATATTGAAGGCCTCCCATCAAAGGGCCCTATACCACCCTGGTTGGTAAGTGAAAGTTATTTAATTTCAGGCCTGTATTTTCTGGGGTATATTTGAATAGCTATTTAAATCTATTCCAGATTAAGTGTATTTTCTCATCTTTTAAAAAATGTGCTGATTGTGTTTAGAAGTAAGAAATATATTAACCTTCTTTACCCCATTATCTTCAGTTGGATATAAAGTATCTATCACCCTTGCTGCTGGCTTATGAAGACAGAATGAAAGAGAAGGATGAGCTCATTGCCACCATTCAGGTAAGTTGGCAAAGTTCTCAGAAGAGACAAGGTTTATACAAAATAAGACCATTTCAGGCTTTGAAGAGACATTTTGAAGCAGATATGCCTACCATCTAATAGGTTCTCAAATGTTTGTCAAAGGAAAGGAGAAAGGAAGAAAGGTGTGTAGCATGGTAGGAGGGAGGGAACGAAGGAGGAAGGGAGGCAGGATGGGAGTAATTGGTGGAGCAGGAGCGGGGAGGCAGGGAGGGATCGGGGAGGTCTGGAGGGAGGTACAGGGCAGTACTGCATTTGAAGTTTCATAGGCAGGCAGTTCCCTAGGGGCTGGGGTCTCCATGCAGAGAAGGCAGCAGTGGGAGGCACCCCTTTCCTGGCACTCTGCAGCTGCGAACACCACTGTTAGAAGGGTCGCTTGGGCAGACCAGGGTAGGTAGTAGGCAGGGGTGTTTTATGCAGACTTCTTAATTCAGTGAGGAGCCGACCCCGGGAAAGTCCAGTTATTGAGCAGTTGGGAACGGTGAGGAAGTGAGGTTTTTATTCATTTCTGCCTTGTTTACCTCTATTTTATGGGAATGGCTTCTGGCAGTGGAGCTTGTTTTACTTACACAAGAGACCAAGGCTGTGTGGGTGTTGCAGATACATTCATGCGTTTCCACGCTGTGCCCCTCCGTGTTCCTCCATGTGGCCAGTGAGATCTCTGGGATTGGAATGATCCAGGGAGAGAAGTGTTGGTTTTTCTGGGACTCCCAGTTGGGTGGGTCTCTTGAGACCAGCCTGTTCTTACTGCACTGTCTCATGTATATGGCCCACGTAATGCAGTTTTGAGCATTTTCTTCTAGAGGATGAATAAATCTTATACTAATTGGTGAATATCAATTCTAATAACTAAGAAAATTATTAATTTAGTGCTCTTTCTAAATCAGGGGTCAGGAAATGTTTTCTGTAAAGGGCCACTTAGTAAATAATTTAGGCTTTGCAGACTGTGCAGCCTCTGTTTTACAGCTCTGCTGTAGGAGCATGGAAGCAGCCATAGACACCATGTAAACAAATGGGCATGTCTGTATTCTGATAAAACTTTATTTACAAAACAGGCAGCTTTAGTTAGCCTGATCCCTGTTCTGAAAGAGCCAGTGGACTGCCACCAAGTGGGAGTGTGTCTGAGCAGAAAGGTGAAGAAGAGAAGTCACGTGGCATTGTTTTGAGTTAAACAGGTATAAGCATACAGGTTAGCTGGGGGAAGAAAATGTGGAATCATCTCAGAATAAGCATTGGCAGCTAAGATTCTCACTGAAGGATGGGCATAAGACACCGAAGCTGGCCAAGGGCAGGCTGAGGAGAGCTGGGACGGAGGATGCCCAGCAGAAGTGCCACAGCTGTACACCTGAAAATAACATAAAATAATAGTGAATGCTAACTGTAATTAAAATTGCTTTTAAGTGCCACATACGCAGACTTTGGAGTTGAAAACTGAGACCAAGCAACAGTCCTTGAGTTGAGGCCAATGACTGTTGAAATTGTACCTACTGAGGGCTTTAAGAGAGGCTTTACTGTGATTGTAATGAAGCCAAATTAAGAGATTTCAACCTTTACACTAACTAATCTTTTAGAAAGTTCTTGTGTTTTTTAAATCTAAAAAGCTCTATTTTATTCTCCAAAGTTTTTTTAATTGATTGATTTGAGAGTGACAGAGAAAGACAAGGGTAGAAAGAAAGAGAAACATTGATTTGTTGTTCTACTTGTTGATGCGTTTCATTCATTGGCTGACTCCTGTATGTGCTCTGACCAGGGATTGAACCCGCACCCTTGCCATATCAGGATGATGTTCTAACCAACTGAGCTTCCTGGCCCCGGGCTTCTTCAAAGTCTTTAAACAAAGGAAAAATTAGTGTTTATAAGTGTCTCTGCTTTTCTTATGCCCCTTTTCTCTTTTCAAGTATTTGGCAGTTATACAAAAATGTTATGAAATTAGGAATTGAATGTGTAAACTACGTGGTTTGGTGTCCCTTGTACTCAGCATTGTAGTTGTCTCTCCAAACTCACTAGACTGTGAGCTCCTTGAAAGCAGGTACTTGGTGCTGGCACCAAGTTTCAGGCTGCTGTTACTGTGAGACTTCTAAAAAGCCATTAGCATTTTATTTTAGCCACAGCAACAGCACTAGAACTAAGCGATATAAATATGTGTGTATGAGTATGTTACAATTTACATAAATTTTATTTCAGGAGGAAATGAGAATGTTCGGGATCCGAGCCCAAGAAGTGGTGAAAGAAAACAAAGAATTGCACGAGCAGTTAATTAAGAGTAGCCCTGTTACCACCAAGGAATGGCAAGTGCTGTTGTATTTCTGGTATTCTACTGATTTAAAAGAAAGATAATAGGAATAAACTTTATTTGATCATTAAATACATTTCCTTTTTTAAATTAAAACATTTTAAGGGAGAGTTTCTAAGAAATTAATAAGGTACAATGAAACTCTAGTAGTTTATTCTAAAGTTGTATTTTAAAGATTAGTCTGAAAATTCTACATAGGTTTTTAAGCCTGAATTATATTTGCTTTCCCAGTTTTTATTTCCTGAGGTTGTATTTTTCTAGGGTGGTTTTCCTATCCCAAACCTGTTGCATCACATTCTTTCTTAGACCCCAGTGATTGCTTTTAGAACAGTCAGCCCAGGATGAGACCCTGCATAGCCAGCTACCCTTGGCGCCCGCTGCCCTGTCCTGTTTCTTCCGTGCAGGCCCTCCGTTCCCTGGCAGCTGAGAGCTGCCTCACCTCCATCCTGTGGCTGATTCTGCTCCTGCCCCTTGAATACCCCATCTGCACTGCTAGTCATACATTAGTCCCCTCCGCCCCTCAATGGGGCTGGCCAGCAGTTCTTCCTATACACAGAGTTAATTGCTCTCTTGTCTTAGTTTCTGACCTAGCATTAAATACACATGTTCTCATACCTGCTACACACTGGCAGCCTGTGTGTTCCACATTTGTCGCCTTTTTCTCCTTTTTGAGCTCCTTAAGGGCAGGGCTGCATCCTGTTTATCCAGACAGTAGCAGACAGTGCTCGTTCAGTGAATTTGAGAAAGTAAATGCCTTCAAAAATCTAAAGGGAGTATCCAGGCAAGACTAAGAAAGCAGAAACTATTCAGATATACCTTTTTTTGCTTTGTGTAGGTATGGTATGTTTAGTATGTTTTAGGTATGTCAGCATTACTGCAAAAAATTAAATATTTCCATATGTGAGATTCAGAAGTTGGTAGTGAGTCAAAAGCATTCTTGCTGGTAGTCAGTTTTCCCTGATTTTCTGATCACTGGTGTGTCATTTGGGACTGGCCCAGGCAGCTGCTGGATCTTGGTACACTGTGGCTTCTCCTGCTGAACTTGGATATTCTTGTCAGGTTTCCTACTCTCTCCCTTCAAGCCCTCCTTGAGTAGCTCCCTGGAAAGCAGGTCAGGTAGACTGGGCCTCTCGTGCCTCCACGCATCCTTGTGAGAACCTGGCACCTCAGATACTTTCTCTGACCTTGTGTATAGGTGTAAGTCAAACTCGTTTAGTTTCCCTTTTTTAAAAAATTTATGAGTATTTATTTATTTTATATTTTTTCCATTACCATTTAGTCCCCTTATACCTTCCAGCCCCTCTGCAATCACCACACTGTTGTCCATGTTCGTGAGTCTTTTTTTCCTTTTTACTCAGTCCCTCTACCCCTTAACCACCCTCCCCATCGCGGTCTCCCGCTCTCTATGAGTCTGTGTCTATTTTGCTTGTTAGTTCAGTTTGTTCATTAGATTCCACATACGAATAAAATCATATGGTATTTGTCTTTCTCTGGCTTATTTCACTTAGCATAATGTTCTCCAGGTCCATTCATGCTATCAACAAAGGGTAAAATTTTCTTCTTTTTTATGACAGAGTAAAATTCCATTGTGTAAATGTCCCATAGTTGTTTTATCCAGCCATCTACTGATGGACACTTGGGCTGCTTCCATATCTTGGCAATTGTAAATAATGCTGTAGTGAATATAGGGGTGCTTATGTTCTTTTGAATTAGTGTTTCGGGTTTCTTTAGATAAATACCCAGAAGTGGAATCGGTGGGTCATAAGGCAGTTCCATTTTTTATTTTCTTGAGGAAATCCCACACTGCTTTCCACAGTGGCTGCACCAGTCTGCATTCCCACCAACAGTGCAAAAGGGTTCCCCTTTCTCCACATCCTCTCCAGTACTGTTTGTTAATTTATTGATGACAGCCATTCTGACACGTGTGAGGTGATATCTCATTGTGGTTTTAATTTTCATTTCTTTTACTTTTCCTTAAAATAAAAATACATAAATAAATTGAAAAGAAAGACAGATCTTACTTTCAAACCCATAAGCCATGTTCCCAGTCCTGTGTTCACTGCCATAACCCAGTGGTTGTGGGGACTGGAGTTCTGTGTAAATGAAATAAGACTGGCCATTTGATAATTGTTCAAGCTGGGTGTTGTATACATTCGAGTTCATCATTCTGTTCTTTCTGCTTTGGTATATGTTTGAAATTTTACATTTCAAAAGTTAGTGAGGGACTTCTGGCCAAGATGCAGGCATAGGTAGACACACCGTGCCTCCTCCTACAACCACAATAAGGACAACAAAAATTCAGAAACAAAATAACAACTGGTACTGACAGAAAATTGAATTGTATGGAAGTCCAACAACCAAGGAGTCAAAGTAGGCACATTCATCCAGACCAGTGGGAAGGGCGGAGCCAGGTGGCTGGATGGAGAGGGGTCATGGCAAAAAAAAACCAGTGGCTGGCAGATCCTGGGCGGTGGATTATGGAGGGGCACTGCATGCAAGGTGACTGGTGGGCTGGGCAGTCCCACATTCACATGCAGATAAACCAGGTAAACTAGGGAGAGAGACAGACCGCACAACCCAGGGTCCCAGCCTGGGGAAATAAAGCTTTGAATCACTCTTTGAAAACAACTGTGGAGAGACTCCCAGCCTCACAGGAGAGTTCATTGGAGAGACCCACAGGGTCCTAGGAATGTACACAAGCCCACCCACCTGGGAATCAGCACCAGAAGGGCCCAGTTTGCTTGGGGAAAGCGACAGAAGAGACTGAAATCCTACAGAGAGTGGAGCAAGCACCATTGTTCCTTCTCAGACCCAATGCTAACATACAGCCTCACAACCCAGCAACTGGGTTGCCCCGCCCTGGTGAATACCTAAGTCTCCACCCCTCACTAGGTATCAGGTGTGTCAAGAGAGAAAAAAAGTGGCCCAAAAGAACAGATCAAAGCCCTAGAAAAAGTACGACTGAGTGGCAAAAAGGTAGCCAACCTATCAGATGCATAGTTCAAAACACTGGTGATCAGGATGCTCACAGAATTGGTTGAATTTGGTCACAAATTAGATGAACAAATGAAGGTTACACTAAGTGGAATAAAGGAAAATATACAGGGAGCCAATAGTGATGGGAAGGAAACTAGGACTCAAATCAATTGAATGGACCAGAAGGAAGAAAAAAACAACCAAACAGAAAAGAATGAAGAAACAAGAATCCAGAAAAAAATGAGGAGAGGCTTAGGAACCTCCAGGACATCTTTAAATGTTCCAACATCCGAATTATAGGGGTACCAGAAGGGGAAGAGGAAGAGCAACAAGTGGAAAAGTTATTTGAACAAATAATAAAGGAGAACTTCCCCATTCTGGCAAAGGAAATAGACTTCCAGGAAGTCCAGGAAGCTCAGAGAGTCCCAAAGAAGTTGGATCCAAGGAGGAACACACCAAGGCACGTCATAATTACATTACCCAAAATTAAATTGAAGAAGAGAATCTTAGAAGCAGCAAGAGACAAGGAGACAGTAACCTACAAAGGAGTTCCCATCAGACTGTCAGCTGATTTCTCCAAAGAGACCTTACAGGCAAAAAGGGGCTGGAAAGAAGTATTCCAAGTCATGAAAGACAAGGACCTATATCCCAGATTACTCTATCCAGCAAAGCTATCATTTAGAGTGGAAGGACGGATAAAGTGCTTCTCAGATAAGGTCAAGTTAAAGGAGTTTATCATCACCAAGCCCTTATTTTATGAAATGTTAAAGGGACTTATCTAAGAAAAAGAAGATAAAAACTGTGTATAGTAAAAGGACAGCAAACTCTCAATTATTAACAACTGAACTGAAAACAAAAACAAACTAAGCAAACAACTAGAACAGGAACAGAACCACAGAAATGGAGATCACATGGAGGATTATCAACAGTGGAATTGGAGGGGGAGAAAGGGGAAAAGGTACAGAGAATAAGTAGCATAGATGGTAGGTAGAAAATAGGGGGAGGGTAAGAATAGTATGGGAAATGTAGAAGCTAAAGAACTTATAAGTATGACACATGGACATGAACTAAAGGGGGAGAATGTGGGTGGGAGGAGGTGTGGAGGGTAGTGAAGGGGAAAAACTGTAATAGCATAATCAATAAAATATATTTTTAAAAAGTTAGTAACAAGTTCATGATTCAAACTGCATTACTGACCTTTCTCCCAATTTAATGCACATGGTGGTATTAATGTGTTAATAACATAGTTAGCAGTAAAACATGTACAGATATTCATTCCCTCCAACATCAGTTGCTTTCTTTTAGACTCGGAGTGTCTCTGTAATCATCCAGCACCTGAATGTCAATGTTTAATTCTCTAAATCAATTGTAGGCATCAGTTTCAGACTCAGGCGGAATTGGTTTTAGAAGAAAACAGGCTGTTGATAGAGCAGTTGGAGATTCAGCAAATAAAAGCCCAGCACACCCACCAGGAGCATCTCCAGGAAGGTGAGCTGTCTTTCCAGTGGGTAATGGCAATGCTGTGGAGTTGTCATTATGTCATTTTAGACTTGTACCCACTTTCTAGTAGGATCCCCCCTTCAGATTGAAAATAGAGAAAATCGTGTTTTTAGGAATATATTTTTCTTTACTGAAATGAAGCAGTCTGTGTTATAACATATCCAGGCACTATGCATAAGGAATTGATTGCTTTCTCTTAGACTCCACAGTGTTGCTTTAATTATTCTATGTATTTTGTAAATCACTTGCAGATGACAGCTTTAGACTCAGCAAAACTGGTTTTAAGGGAAATAGCACCACATAAAGAGGAAAAATTATGTGATGTGAAGATTTGAAACAACACAATGATCTGTACTTGAATATTTGTTAAATGAATAAATAAGTGGAACCATTTGGTTTCTAAACAGCTTCTCTGTGCTCTTGCCCTTTCTTCAGAGCTGTGGGTGCTGTCGGAGGTAAACCTCTGTCAGACACTTTCGTGATCGCCCCTCTCCTTTTGTGTTGCTCCCTGTCCCTACGAGCCTCACAGTATATAAGAGTGGACTTGGAAGTGGATCCAGGTTAAGAGTCATTTCTTCCACTTTCATTCAAACCAACATTTATGAACAAAAAGATAATGGTATTTTTTCCTTTTGCTGTACTGATTTTTTTTTTCCGGTGAAAAATAGTGTAGGATAGGAGGCTGGAATACAAGCTGTCTTGCACGAGCTGATGTAACCCCCCACTTGGTTCTCCTTTCTGTTCCTGATTATTGAACCTCTCCCCCTTCCACACTGAGGAAGAGTTAACTACTAGCCTCTGCTGTTGCTGAAACTACTAGGCTAGCACTTCACTTGTTTCTGATAGCCAGGTCAGGTTTAAAAGTGAGAGCACCTCTCAAAGAGTCCAGAGGAACAGGAGTTTCCTCCACAGGACTTCTCCACTCCCCAGTCTTTGCGAGGCACAAAGGCATGTGCTCTTACTCCACCGTTATTTGTGGGGGAGGGGAGAGAGTGTTGCTGCGCCTCCTATCTTTGCTTTCAAGGTCAGAGATAACTGGGAAAATTAATTTTATATTTACTGAGGTTACTTTTCTCAAACACAGCAGATCTGAAGAGGTGAGATGAGTCTTCTGGTCACGTGGAGCAGAGCCAGCCTTTTGGCCTCTCTGACTCAGTCAACAGCCTCCGTTAGTTTTCTGTTTCCCAGAAATAGCTGTTCACTTTGACCAACTAAATGGGTTTTTTTAATCCTCACCCAAGGACATGCTTATTGATTTTAGAGAGAGGGGAAGGGAGGCAGAGAGAGAAAGAGAAACATCTATGTAAGAGATAAACATCGATTGGCTGCCTCTCCTACACTCCTGACCCAGAACCGAACCCACAACCCAGGCATGTGCCCCAACCAGAAGTCAAGCCCATGACCTTTTGGTTCACAGGATGACACTCAAACCAACAACTGAGCCACAGTGGCCAGGGTGATCAACTAAATGTTTTTATGGAGTAGAAGTGTTTACAGTTTTACACTATAGTGCTTCTATGTACTACCTTCAACAGATGCCCAGGAACTATCTTACTATGTACTGTTATGTCACAGAGGATGAAGTATTTATGATTTACTTTAGATACAGGACATAAAACATAAAAATTTAATGAGGAAAGGGAAGAAAAAGAATCAATTTGAATCTTAGTTTGTGTTACTGAACAATTTGTCCACTCAGCGCTAGCAGAGCCAAACACTAAACACTGAGAATCGCAGTAGAGAAAGAATGTCTATTTTATTATGAATGGCACCATCTAGGAAAAATGGGAAGCTAATGCTCAAAAGCCTGAACTAGATGGTTTACAGACAAGGGCTTCTATAGAGCAAAATCAGCCATCATGAGTAAGAGATTTGGGGTCATTGGTCAAGAGTGAGGTAAGGCTAGTAAATCATAATTTTAGGTCTTAAAGTCAGCATTGGGGTCCCTCAGTCTGGTTTCATGGGGACATAGCCAGGGGTCATTGCGCTTTGGAACTCAGGAGCTGAAACTTAGGCCATGATGGTGTCTTCAGCTTAATGGAAACCCGTGTGTTGTGACCCTTAGTCAAGGCTGGGCCATTGTTTCTGGTTGTCTCAGGGGGTTAATGACTAGTAAGGGAAAGGGCTAAGGCTTAACTGGGCATGCTGTGGAGAAACTGAATGGAGTGCTGGGGTTCCATATTAGATCGAAATCATTCATTAAATTAGGATCCTTTGCTGCACTTGGCCATATGTGACATCCTTGAAAACTTGCAGTTTTAGGGACAACGTCATGATGTATGCTTACATACCTACAGACGACTTAAGTCTTTACAAAGTTTCTTGAAGACTAGAATCATGTCTTACTAAATATTGTATATTTAATGATTATATCAAGATATTGAACCTCAGTAAGAAAGTTTGTATTTAGTGAATGCTTAATATAAGAACAATAATTTTTAAGAACAAGGCCTTTGGTAGTAATTTGTAAATCTCTGAAAGATTTTTAAAAGATCATTTTTTATAAATTGACTCTCGTTAGTATTAACCTAGTAATCAATAATCATGTATTGCCCTGACTGGTGTGGCTCAGTTGGTTGGGTGTCGTCCCGTGAAGTAAAAGGTCGCAGGTTGAATTCCCAGTCAGGGCACATGCCTGGGTCTCATGTGGGGTTCGGTCCCTGGCCTGGGTGTGTTTGAGAGACAACCGCTTAGTGTTTCTCACGTTGATGTTTCTCTCTCCCTGTTTTTCTCCCTCCCATCCCCATCTCCATAAGTAAATAAATCAATGAATGAATAAATAATCATGTATTATTAATCAAGTTTTTTGTACCAAGTCTTCATTCATCTCTTTTGTTTTTCAGTTTCTAAACTGACTAAACAACTAATGCTTCTGGAGAGTAAAACACAGAGCCAAGAAAAGGAGCTAATTAAAAGCAAGGAGCAGTTGGAAATTTTATGCACTGAATGCCAAGAACTGAAAACACAGTTGGATGGCAAAATAGCAATGAAAGTTCATGCTTCGATTGTAGGTGAATTAGAAAGGTAAGGTTTAATGTCTTTTCAAGTGTTAATGCATCACAATGTATGTTGTTACAGACAGAGTGGAAAGAGATTGCTCTGCTTTTTTTTTTCCTTTTAATTTTTTGTTCTGTCTTTTTCTGAGACTCTTGGCTACAGGAGCACAGGTGTTGCAGTCTGTGAATGGTAAATACTTTATTAAAGTAGAATATGGCTGTCCCTGAGGGCTACAGTCTGCACTTTTTATGTGTGTGTGTGTGTGTATGATTGTTTTCTCTACTGTGCCAGCCCATACTGATTTTAGAACCAGAGATAATTTAAAGGAGTAGAACTGGAAGCCTAGATGTCCAGTAATAAAGAACTGGTGAAATGAAGGGATACAACCATAAAATGGAATAGAACACTCATTAAATAAGTAATGTCACAAAAGATTATTTTTCACATGGAAAAATAGCCTATAGTGCTAAATATTTTTTATTTGATATTATACATAAACTATACAAAAATGCCTTTCAATAAGTAAAAGACACATTTTATACAGGGGATTTTTAAAAAATATTTTATTTATTTTTAGACATGGGGAAAGGGAGGGAGAAAGAGAGGGACAGAAACATCAATGTGTGGTTGCTTCTCGCACGCCCCCTGCTGGTGACGTGGCCTGCAACCCAGGCCTGTGCCCTGACTGGGAATCGAACCAGCAACCCTTTGGTTCACCAGCTGGCGCTCAATCCACTGAGCCACACCAGTCAGGGCATAGATACAGGGGATTTTTTTTAAAGTATATTTTATTGATTATGCCATTCCAGTTCCATTTTTTTCTGCACTTTATCCCCCTCTGCCCTGCACCCCACCTTCCCTTCAGCATTCCCCTCCCTTAGTTCATGTCCATGGGTCATACATATAAGTTCCTTGGCTTCTACATTTCCTATACTATTCTTAATCTTCCCCTGTCTATTTTGTACCTACCATTTATGCTGCTTATTCCCTGTACCTTTTCCCCAATCTCCCTGCTCCCCCTCCCCACTGATAACCCTCCATGTGATCTCTATTTCTGTGATTCTGTTCCTGTTCTAGTTGTTTGCTTAGTTTTCGGGGTTTTTTTTTAGGTTCAGTTGTTGATAGTTGTGAGTTTGTTGTCATTTTACTATTTATAGTTTTTGATCTTCTTTTTCTTAGATAAGTCCCTTTAACATTTCATATAATAAGGGGTTGGTGATGATGAACTCCTTTAACTTGACCTTATCTGAGAAGCACTTTGTCTGCCCTTTTCATTCTAAACGAAAGCTTTGCTGAATAGAGTAATTTCGGATGTAGGTCCTTGCCTTTCATGACTTTGAATACTTCTTTGTCATCCCTTGTTCTATTTTTAAAGCTTTGATCTGTTCTTTCTTTTGGGCCTTATTTTTTTGTCTCAGCGCACCTGTTACTTTGTAAGGGATGGAGCCTTAGGTATTCGCCAGGGTGGGGCAACCCACATCACTGCGTTTTGGTGCTGTGGGGGAGGGGTCTGAGAGGGAACAGTTTGGCTTGCCGGACTCTGAGAGGGCTTTCAGTCACTTCCTCCACTACTTACAACCAAATTGGGCCCTTCTGTTACTGATTCCCAGGTGGGAGAGTTTGTGTAAGTTCTAGGACCGTGTGGGTCTCTCCAACAAACTCTCATGTGAGTCTGGGAGCTTTTCCTGCTGATGCAACCCCCACAGGTTTTTACAGCCAGAGGTTTTGAGGCTTTATTTCCCCACATTGGAACCCTGGGTTGCACAGTCTGTCTCACTCTCCTATTATTCCTCCGGGTTTATCTGTGCACAAATGTGGGACCGCTTGGTCTGCCAGCCACTGCCTCGCCCACCTGGTCCTCCAGTCCCTGCCTTGCTGTGCATCCTCTCCATCCCAACTGCCTGTCTCTACTCCTCCTACCAGTCTGAATGAATGTTTCTTCTTTTAACTCCTTGGTTGTCAGACTTCCATATGGCTTGATTTTCTGGCAGTTCTGATTACTTTTTGTTTTTAAATTTGTTGTTGTCCTTTTGGTTGTTCAAGGAAGCAAGGTATATCTACCTATGCCTCCATCTTGGCTGGAAGTCTGTATTATTTTTTTAAAGTCTATTTTGTTTATTTCTGTTCTGATCTTTATTTTTTTCTTCCTTCCTCTCATTTTGGTCTTTGTTGTTCTTTTTCAAGTTTCTTTCAGTGTAAAGTTAGATTGTTTATTTGAGCTTTTTCTTGTTTCTTGAGATAGGCCTGTAATGCTGTTTTTGCTTCTTAGGATTGCTTTCCCTGTGTCCCACAGATTTTGGATTGTTGTGTTCTTATCTTTATTTGTTCAATGTATCTTTTGATTTCTTCCTTAATCTCACTGTTTTTTTAAAATTATATTATATTGATTATGCTATTACAGTTGTCCCAATTTTTCTCCCTTTGCCACCCTCCACCAAGCACTCCCACCCACTCAGGCAGCCCCCATACCATTTTTCATGTCTGTGGATCATACATGTAAGTTCTTTGGCTTCTCCATTTCCTACACTGTGCTTTACATCCCCACGGCTATTCAGTAACTACCTATTTGTGCTTCTTAATCCCCTCACCTCTTCACCCATCTACCCACACATCCCCTCTCATCTGGCAACCATCAAAACACTCTCCATATCCATGATTCCCTGTTATTCTTGTTTGCTTAGTTTGTTTTTTAGATACAATTGTTGATAGATATATATTTATTGACATTTTATTATTCATAATTTTGATCTTTTTCTTAAATAAGTCTTTAACATTTCATATAATAATGGTTTTGTGATGATGAACTCCTTTAGCTTTTTCTTGTCTGGGAAGTTCTTTGTTTGCCCTTTAATAGCTTGGCTGGATGGAGCAGTCTTGGCTGTAGGTCCCTGCTCTTCATGACTTTGAATATATCTTGCTAGTCCTTTCTAGTCTGCAAAGTTTCTTTTGAGAAGTTGGCTGACGGTCTTATGGGAACCCCCCTGTAGATAACTGCTTTTCTTTTGCTTTTAAGATTACCTTTACCTTTAACCATTAACATTTTAATTATAGTGTGTCTTGGAGTAGGCCTGTTTGCATCCATCTTGTTTGAAACTCTGTATGCGTCCTGGACTTGCATGACTGTTTTCTTCACCAAATTAGGGAAGTTTTCTATCTTGTTTTTTCAAATAGATTTCAAATTTCTTGCTCTTTCTTTTCTTATTCTGGCACCCCCATGATGCAAATGTTGGAACACTTGAAGATGTCTCATAGACTGCTTACCCTATCCTCATTTTTTTGGAATCTTTTTTCTTCTTGCTCTGATTATTTGTTTTATGCTTATTTATGTTCCAAATCTTTGATTTGATTTCAGTTTCATTCACTCTACTGTTGTTTTTCTGTAAACTGTTCTTTATTTCAACTAGTAAAATCCTTCTTTTCCATCTGGATCTTTTCTTGTATTATTGAGGTCCTCACTAAGTTTTTTCAGCATCCTTATAACCAGTGCTTTGAAATCTTTGACAGATTGCTTGTATCTCTGTTTTGCTTAGTTCTTTTTCTGGAGTTTTGATCTGTTCTTTCATTTGGACCATGTTGCTTTGTCTCTTCATTTTAGCAGCCTCCCTGTGTTTGTTTCTCTGTGTTAAGTAGAGCTGCTATAACTCCTGTCTTGGTAGCATGGCCTAATGTAGTAATATCCTATAGAGTTCAGTGGCACAGCCTCTCTTATCACCCAAGCTGAGTACACAGTGCGTGCCCTCCATGTGGGCCGAGTACATCTTCCTCTTGTAGTTGAGAGTTGGTGATGTTGGCAGATCATTGGGTGGGATTTACCCAGGCCAGTCAGCTGCAAGGACTGGCTGTGACCAGTGATCACCAAACTCTGCCCTCTCTGGAGGATCAGCTGTGCAGACCACAGGCTGATGTGGTCTGTAGTTGTCCACTGGGTACACAGGCTCTGGGGTTTCCCAGGTGGTGCAGGTCAAGTCATCCCCCACCTGTGTTCTGCCCGGGGCCACCTTGCATGAGCTGTAAAGTAATCTGAGATGGCTATTACTTGTGCTGGGCCTCGAGATTTCCAGGCAAAGCCAAGCTGTGAATCTAGGCTGGCTGCTGTGATTTTCTGGCCTAGAGCCATATATCAAGAAGTATGGGGGCTTGGGGCTCACTGAGGCTGTTTGGGGCTTGTTTGAGAGGATTTAGGAAGTTGGAAAGCATGAGCCAAAACCAGTCATTCATATGGAAAACTCACTATTAACAGCTTGAATAGGCCTGTAAGTTTGGTAGGACAGAGTCACAGGTGATGTCAATGCAGGGCAAATAGTGTTAGCCATGTGGATGGAGTTTTAGATATTGCACCCGCCTCCCTGCTCTGTGGTTCTGTGTGGAGGTGGGTTCAGAAAAGGGACAGTGGCCTCTGCCCACCTTTATGTCTGGGAGAAAGCCGTCCCCCAGCTCTTGCCTTGACACCAGACACTGCAATTCTTCCCTGTATGCCACTGGTGCCTTTCAAGCTGCCATCCTGGTGCTAGAGCTCAGAGGGAGTGATTCTCAGGAAGTCTGTGTGTGGGTTCTTAAAGAGGAATGCTTGGGACTCCATAAATTTCTTCCACCAACTTAATCCCTACTGGTTTTTGCAGCCAGAAGCTATGGGGACTTATATTTCTGGCACTGGAACCCTGGGCTAGGGTGCCTGGTGTGGGGCTGGGACTCCTCGCTCCTGATATATACCTCCCAATTTTTATCCACTACAAGTGGACATGGGACAAGCTCCTTCCACATCTGTGCCCTTCCTACTATCTAGATGGATGTGGTTTCCATTCAACTCAGTTTCTCATGGTTCTGTGTGATGGTGGTTCTATATTTTGATTGTAATTCTGATGTGGTGTGCTAGGAGGTGAGCTGTATTTACCTATCCTGCCATCTTGACTAGAAGTCAGGTCTTGTTTTCTTATCCATTCAAATACCATATGTCTTTTGATTGGAACATTTAAGCTGTTCACCTTTAAAGTGATTATTGATAGATATGTATTTATTGTCATTTTTTA